TTTTACGCGACTTACAAATATTATTTCGTATATTTAAGCTTGTTTTTTGACGTTAGTTATTTTTATTAATACAAATAAAAACACTTCAAAATATGAATGTATCTTAGTTATTTTCTTTAGTTATATCTGACTTTTGCGTAGGTAATTACTATTGTAGCAAAGTGCGCACTCATTGTAGTATTTGCCGTAAAATCCTTGAAAAAATGTAATGTTATCACTAACAATAATAATAATAATCCATTTTATTTTTTATCTTTTATCTTCAGTTCAGTTGTTCCAGCATGAAACCAGCAGTAATCACCGTTCCCCAGCAGGCTCTCTTACCCAGCTGGCTGTGGAAAGGCCGGGCGGACAGGAGAGCATGTACCCCGAATTTAAGCAGCTCTCCGGCCGGAGCCGACGCTTTGTGCTCCGGGTGATCAGTCAGGATCTCCTCTATCATGAAACTCCTGTAGCGATGAGTTCTGTGGTCGGGGTGGATCTCCGGAGGATAGTAATGCGCCCCCATGTCCAAAGGATGCTGCATAATGTGGCTGTGCGGTCACCAAGCGCGTACACCGATTCTCACTCCTTTCAGTGGCCCAGGCCGGCTGTCATATTCCCCCCGTGGTGCCTCTGTTAGTCCCGCAGATCAAGAGTGAAGTTATCCTTCTGAATCAGGCAAAGTAAAGTGCAGGTAGCCGAGGTCCCTGCGCGTCCTCTGCGGGTTTTACGCGTTACTTCTGTTCAGCTTTGGTTCTTTTTGGAGACGTGATCTGGTTCCGAGAGCGAACCTTTGACCAAAAACTCCCGAACCCGGTCGTGTTCATGCCCGCTTGCTGTGTGTGTGTGTGTGTGTGTGTGTGTGTGTGTGTGTGTGAGTCGGAGCTATTTGTCAGCCGCTGAGCGCGTCAACTTGGCAGTGAGTTGAGGAATAAGCTTTGGGTTTTATGAGTCTCGTCATGGCTCCACCTCTCCTCCGCGGGGTTTGTCTGCTCGGTGCCTCCACTGAGCCAAAGTTACATGCAAAGCCGCACTTGTTGCATGGATTTATATGCAAAAGAGAAGAAAATAAGTTGCTTAAACGACGGAAATTTTAAATACCCTGCAGATGACTTTGCAAGTTATAAGGCTTTTAGTTTGATGATGATGATGATGATGTTAGGCAGTAACTGCAACACAGGAAGCTGCAGGTTATTGGTTAAAATTATAACAAACATGATACTTTTCTAAATAGATTTGTCACCAGTACGTTTTTCTTCTTGTGTGAAGATTTGAATCTATCAGGGCATTACTGGATGCATTGGTCAGTGGTTGTCAAACTACAGGGGCAGATCTAGAGAAATATCATGGGGTGTCCAGAGTGTAGCATTGAGACTTTAAGGGGTGGCAGAAATATACGCAGATTTTATCGCAAACCATCACATATGTCCATATTTGCTTGGAAAAGCCCCCAAACGAAGACATGTTAAAGGTCCAGTGTGTAACATTTAGGAGAATCTATAGTCAGAAATGGAATATAATATTCATACGTATGTTTTCATTAGTGTATAATCACCTGAATATAAGAATCGTTGTGTCTTTGTTACCTTAGAATGAGCTGTTTTCATCTACAGAGTGAGTGGGTCCTCTCTACGGAGGCCACCAACCGCCATGTAAGAAAGAAATACAAATATCTAAAATAGTTTTATTATTTTTCCAAATGCATTCACTGAACATAAGCCTATCACTTTGTCTAAAATGTGGCCACAACAGATTGTTAAATTAAGTTCTATTTTTCAACACCTTATTTTTTATTAATTAATACAATTATGAATTAATCTAAATTAATGTATTCAATTTGACAGCATTTGACAACAAACTGGGGTGACCAGGCATCTTTTAGCTGCTACCCCATGCCATCCCCTCTGAATCTGCCCATGTCAAACTGGGTTCTGGGGTCCAGTGGGGTTCCTTGAGTGGGTTGTAGGGGCTCTCCAGTGAAAGGAGGAATATAATATTTGAAGTTTTATCATATTAGTGGAAGTTGGAACAACAAAGGTAGAAATAGAGTTGAACGTTTGATCATTGATTGACTGTAAGACTTTATTATCCTCAAACTGGGGGTCTAATGTGAATCTGTTGTGGGGGTCATTGACATGAAAACGTTTGGGAGCTGCATTAGATTCTTGCCAATAGGTTGTGTTTTCACAAGTTTGCAGTTGTACAATAAAGCGTACATATTTTGGCCAAGAAAATTATGAAGAAATCAATTTGATATTTTTAATTGTACTGTTTAATACTGCCAAAATGTTGAACAAACGTGATCCAGATTCATTAGAGACAGTCCGACCTCAGCTCATGCTATCGGGTTCATGAAGCCACTGAGGCAGCTAAAGGGGAAATGTTTCATTCTAGAGGTCAAAGAAACCAACGCCAGAGCACCTCTGGGATTTTTTCCTTTGCGGTTATTTGGCTGAAAAATTGCAAAATATCTCCCACTGCATATTTTTAGCACATCTCAGGACTGCTTTGAGAAAAAAAAGCTCTGGCCTTCTTAAAATCCACCCTGGAGCAGAAAGACCTCAAAGAACCTTTGAATGCGTCAAAGTTGGTGGTCTGTTGAAATCTCATTTTGTTTGAAGCTTTTCTTTAAAATATGACACAGTAGATTGTATAGGAGGAGCAGGAGATCATGTGACAAATATTCCAACAAATACAGCACAATTCAAACAAGATAAACTGAGCTTGTCCCAGTTTTTGACATATCAGTGAACGTGTTGGAAACAAATTGACTTAATCAAATGTGCATCTCAAAAAAGGTACCTAATGAAAGATAAAAAAGCATGAGAATGGTGAAATGTGTGCTACTGAGAAGAATATTGCAGCTTTAAGTGTGTAGAAAAGTGCAGGACCCCTTTATGGACAGGAGTGAAAGTCTAGAGAAAAGCATTTTCTAAAACAAAAATCTTTTGTTTCAAGCAAATGATGCCTTTATTGGTCGTATATTTGCAAATGATCAATTACATGGTTCATGTAAATCGTGATCAGTCTTATTCCGAATAATAACATATTGTAAAAGGTCTGTCTCTTCAGCTGCAGCTTTGAAGATGTTTTTTTCCATCTACAGTCTACCAAGTCAACCAGATATTTCTGTGAAACACTCAGTGACAAGTAGTGAGGTCCGATAAGTTGTTCAAATACACACAGTGCCACAAGTGTGTTGTCGTCTGCCGCTGAATTAGCTGGGATTGTTGGAACATGTCTTCCTCTGCTGGTCACTTTGGAGATTGCAAGAAGAGTTTCTCTGCCAGAGGACAATCACTATCACCTCTGTGGTATAAAACAGTGGTTCGCAACCTTTTTCCCTAAGGGACCCCTTTCTATCACTGACCCTGACCCTGACCCTAACCCTAACTGACAACCTCTGACTAAGTGACATAATTTATGAATATTAACAGAACAGAACAACTGATTAACTGTGCAATTAACCCACACAGTGAATGCGATAACTGTGGTTGGATGAATTGTGAGCTGATTATTTCCTGTAAATATTACATCAGAGGTCCGTTTTCTGATGGTTTGAGGAACGTTTTATATAATGATCTGTCTGTATTGTATTCATTCTATAAAATCAAGAAGGCCTTGCAACCCCTAGTGGAGGTCCCGACCCCCAAGTTGGGAACCACTGGTACAAATGGTAAAACTCTGCCATTGGGATCTATTCTCCTAGAAATATGAAGGTTTTTTTTTATCACAGAGGATGAGCAAATGGTCCTGAAATAAACTTTTATGGAACTGGAAACAAAAATCTGTGAATATAAGAAAAACTGCCAACAAAACAGATATAGATTTACATTCCTCAACTATTATGTTTATAATCCATCCTATGTTTTGTACCAAAGAAGAATTTATTGTTTGTAGTACGTAACAAATGATTTTATAGGAAAATCGCGCAATTAATCTTTTCCTCAGTCTGATACTGATAGCTCACTTATTCAAAGCTGAAGATGGTAAAAAACTTTTTGTCTCATTTGCTGAAACTTTCACTATATCCTGACAGTAGAACATGAGACAGATAATGTGTGAAACAATCAGGTTCCTCTGGCTCCTCCTAGAGCTCCTAATGGTATTTGCAAGAATCCACCAGGCCTGAACGAAAACAACCAATCAGAGACAAGAAAGATAGTTGATTGTTGAGTCTCATTCCGAGTCAAATACCAACGCTGGGAATGAGACTCAACAATCAACTATCTTCAAGCCACCTGCCCAAAGCATCTTTATATCTTTTTGTATGCAAAAATGTTTTGATTTTAGATGATATACGCCGACTGTACTGATTGATATTGCTCAAACACTATGGAAATACGTTCATCAATCTAATATTTGTAGATTTTCAGTGTTGTACTTGATGCTGTCCTGATATCCCAACTCAGCATCATCATCTTAATAAACAGCCACTAGGCTGCAGCTAAAGACTCCAGAGAAATAATCCTCTCAGGGAACCTTATGGTGTCAGCCAGTTGCAGCAGATGCAGTGTAACCACCCATAAACACACACAAAAACAGTGCCAGGTAGGGTAAAGCATTTCAATGGATTACTGGGATTATAAAAAAACTATTTATTATATAAATTATAGCCTAATAGAATGGAAAACTACGGAAGCCAAAAGATTCTGTAAGTCATTATAAGGAGAAACGTTCTCACAATATTGACTGATTAATATTGAGTATCTCAAAATAATGATTCAGAATCAAAATCGTTGTTTTGGAGATAATATGTCAAAATATTGAGAGATTCTGTCATTATTCTGAGATACTAGGTTAACATTATGAAAAGGTTTCTCGTTATAATGGCTTACAGAATCATTTCCCCGTCACAACGAGCTTCCACAGTGAAACGCGTTAACAATCTGCAGTATAGAGTTGTTACAGGGTTGTGGAACAGTAAATCACTGGAATATAGATTTCACCGCCAGAGACAAACGGAACTCTTCTGTTGTCATATTCCTGTGCAATGTCATTCATCAAATACGTTCAGTGTTAGTCGGTAAACAACTGGCTGTAAACAACTGAAAGTCCAAACTAACGTTACCGTCATAGGATGAAGAAAACACGCCAACCGAGCTCTGCCTGTGGTCACGTGACCTAACGGCACCGTTCTACATGACAACATGTCAGGTTGCTAAGTTAGCTAGTGAGCTAGCTGTACTTAGCTGACCAAAATGATGTGGCTAGAGGAAAACCCCGGTTTGCTACGCGCCCGCGACGAAACAGCCGCGGCTTTAGAGCGATGAACCGACTATCACATATTCTACAGACAGCCGCGGACTCAGACGACAGGAAAACGGTAAGCTAGGCCTTCTGTAGCCACTATGCTAGCCTCAGCTAACGTTAGCGTTGAGTCTTCAGCCTGCAGCATCAGCACCAGACACACCGCTTCAGCTTCAGCTCGGCGGCGGTCTGTCCGCGTCCTAACAAGCGCTGTGACTGCCTAACCTGGCAGCAGAGCTTCCATTAAAGTAATGCCAGAGAGCTGTAACGCTCGGCTTATGAACTAATGACCTAGCGTTAGTGGGAGAGCTCACAGCAGTGCAGTTAGAGAGCTGTTTGTTAGCCTGTGTCAGCTGTAGATACAGGCGGTGAGAATGCTGGGTGTCACTGTAAAGCAGGCTGCTCGTATGGGCTTCTGTTTCCGTGTTTAAGATTTGTAAATGCTTTTGCTACTATAATCGACCTTTGTCAGCACACCTTTGACTTAAGAAGAGCAGAGTTGTTACTAATTAAATTAATTATGGCTCCTCTCCATTAAAGTCCATTTAATGTCAGGAAGCCAGCACCTACAGAACCAGGGGCTTACCCTAAACCCCGGGCCCCTGGAACTGGCCCTGGAACTGGCCCTCTTCAGTGCAGTGCAACCAACTCATTACACCTGTGTGAGATAGTCAGGGTTGGGAGGGTTACTTTAACTCAGAAGTAACTCATTACTAGTAATCGTATTACTCTCCCCAGTAACTAATAGTGTAACTAATTACTAATTCATCTCAGTAATAATATTGTACGTTACCGGCCTCAAAAAAGAATTAGTTACTTAATTACTTTTGTTGTCACCGCCTACATGGTTTGAAATCCAACAATCCAATCACATCCTTGGATTCATTTTTGTAATCATGGAGATGGAAACATTCAGCTGCTGGAAATATTCCATTACTTTGATTTTATTAAACAAAACTGGATTTAAATAGTTGTAAATCTGAATTTTGGGGAGAAAGGTATAGTACTAGCAGAATAGTAATATAGTAGTGTAACTAACTCATGGCATGGAATAGTAAGTAAAGTAATAACATTACTTTTGAAAGGACTAATAAATAAAACAAATTTTGTAACTAGCCCAACACTTGTAATCTGATACAATTACTAATTACCAGTCAAAAATGTAGTCGGTAACCTAATCCTAAGTATCACAGTGTTCAAGTAAGATAACTTAATTACTTGACATTAACTTTGCATTAGTTCAACACCGAATATGCAAATATAGAAATATCAGTAAGAAGTATTGATGGAAGTGTATTCTGTAACACAAGTGAACAGTGTAACCGTGGAAAAGAAAATGGATGTAATGGATTACAGTTATCTTTATATTGTGATTACATAACTCAGTAACATGTAATTATTATTATTAACACCAGTTACAATTACTCTTTTTGAAAATGATCATTTTTACATCACTGAAGGAACTTTGGGGTCTGTACCAAACAAACATGTATTTTTTTAATACCATGTCAGGTAGCAGCAGCGCTGTTTGTCTCCATGCTCCAGGTCTGGGGAGGGACTGTGTGGCAGGTAGCCATGCTGCAGTATTGTGAAGGCTGTGTATTCTGCTGGTTTGCCTGTTGTCTGATCAGGATCCCTAATTCAAACACACACACTAAACATAGTGTCGTCTGCCATATTTCTTTATGAGCACACTCAGTGGAAATGACTCTCACATCCCACACTCATTAGCAGCGTCTCTGAAAGATCTCTCTCAGCCTTCACACCATCTCTCTCATGTCCACAGACACATTGGCTTCCCAGGGGACGCGAGCTTATGGATCCACCACAAATGTGTGAAACTCTGTGGTTCATTTGTTCTTGAGTAGCGGTTGAGTGAAGAGATTTATTTGCGGTCGCTATGTTAGCTCGATTTCATGTAAGTGTTAATATTTGATTCACATACGTCACATTTGTCATGAAGAACACCAGCTCGTTATCAAGAGCTTCCTATAAGCAGTGCCAAGCGGTGTCGGGCTCCGGCGGGGCAGACTGCTGGACTCATTGGATAGGCTTCTTTCCGGCTGTAATGTTAGAAACGCTTCAACCGGTGTCATACTAGGATTTGGTGCCATATTAGTTTGTAACAAGTGTGGGTTACTGTGTAAAAGAAGTCCAAAAACAGGTGTGGATGGAAAAAGACAGGCTCTAACTTTACACCATCAATTATTCATAGACTACAGAAGCCTTACTCTTAAGAGGACTGGCATTGTGACCTGAATGTGACCTGTCTCTGAAGGGGCTTTTTAATAACATTGTCACCTTTTTAAAGAGAAATAATGATTAGCAGATATAATTCTATGGTCTTCAAAGTATGTTTTTAAATATTTTCCCTTAAATAATAAAACTTCAATACGGAAAAGGACTTCAATATGTGTCTTCTAACAGAGTAATATAATAATTACAATAGCGCTTTGGAGTAACATGCCGATTCATTTTCAAAATAATTGTGTAATGTTAAGTACAAGTCAAAATGTCGGGCTGTACAATTAATCCAAATATTATCAAAGTTGCAGTACGGCCCAGTGCAACATGCAAATCACAGAAGCTGCAATTGTCTGGTAAAGGTGACAGTGTGACAGCTCATCATAATGAAGTACAGCACTAGTGCTGCAGAGATACCCTGGTCTTGTTCTCCACATTTAAGACAACATGTCATCATGATTTTAATACTGGTGATGTGTGAACGATCATTCCCACTAATGGTGAATCTTACTGTGCAATATCAGTCAAAATAATCACAATCTGATTTTTTTAGCACATCGTCTGAAGAGCACCTTTTTAAATTGACATTTGTAGACTACTGGTATCAGAGTTTCTGCACATCATATTTTAAAAGTATGTACAAATACCAAAGCATTTAATATCATATCCTGCTCAGATCTCCATTCAAAGTGCAGAAAATTGTGTTTCCACGTTTCCAGTTGTCAGTGTCTCCTACTGTACACTTTACGATAGCTTTTCCCATTCCAAAACCTATTGCAGTAAACTTATTAGAACTTAGTTTGACCTTGATTTTTCTTCCAAGTCAAGTTGAAACTGTTATTTGTTGTATGTAGAGCTGCAACGATTAGTCAATTAATCGATTAGTCAACTATCATGGTAATCGATTCATCGTCTTGAGTCGTATTTTAAGGAAAAATGTAACAATTGTCTAATTTCAGAGGGTTGTGGACAAAAGACATTTGAGGATGTCACTTTGGACTTTGGGAAACACTGATCAACATTTTTCACCATTTTCTGACATTTCATGTACCAAACAACTAATGGATGAATTGATAAAATGATCAACAGATTGATTTAAAATAACTGTGGCAGCCTTAGTGCTATTAAATTGCTCAAACTGGTGGTTCCCCAAATGGTGGGGACCCTAGAGTGCTGAGGCCTGACATTTTTTTTGCCTTCCAAATCGTTGCATGACAGAAAGAAGTTGTGTAACCACTGACAAATCCGTTCAGCTTTTTGATAAGTTGTTGGCATGTTATCTGTGTACAAAGCAATTTTGCCGTAATTGGGTACAGACTTTGATTAAGCCAGTGTATCAAATAGGAAGGAAAAAGCAAAGTTCAAGGAATCGATTGCCCATCAAAAAGCATGTGAACTACAGCGACCCTGCTCAATTGTTAATGGACCACAGTGAGGCAGAGAGCTGTAAAGGTGCAGAGTTTCACTCCTGCAACACCAGTTTGCACAAGTGATGAGGCCCATTACAGCTTTGGGTGTAACGTGAGGAACAGCTGGTCCCCGGAGTTCAATTGAAACTCTGGGAGATCTGTGACATAACTCTGATATCAGGCTACATAAATCTGATGTGCAAGTCAAGAAGTATTGCCCTGCAGCTGCACAATAGCAGGTGGACATGTTCACCTGAATAATTGATAAGTGTGGCATCAGCCCAGTAACAGAGGAGGGATTTGCCTAATCTCTCATATGCAGTTTAATATATTTGACCTGGTTGCAGCTTAACACATATTGAAATGGAGTTGTGGCTGGGAGTGATGATGCCATGTCACTGCGTGCTCATCTTGAAGCCTCTACAAGTCAGTGCGCTTTGTAACACAGCACCTTGGATCTCAGGTTTGTGCTCCCGCTGTTGTCCCTGGGCCACGCCCACCTGCTCCCAGAGGTGCAGTGGTCAGAGTGACACATGAGCTGCTGACATGGTGGCTCAGTTTGCACATTTCCCTCTCTCCCCTGGGTTATCTTTGCCAGGCAACGCCACTCACACTCCTCATATCTCATCTGTGCGTGCACCTTGTGACTGTTTGTCAGCACAACCAAAGCTTCTGCTTGTAAGCTGTTTCTTCCCCCCCTATTTTTTTTCATCTGCCTTTGACACACAATGTTTATTCACACCTTTCAGCCCCTGCCATGGCAGCTGGTGTCAGCGTACTGAGTGACTTATCTTACTCCATGAGTGGAGCCCGCAGTGGAGAGATCAGCACAGAGATGGAGACAGGTAGGAGAGCTCTGCCACACAAAAACAACACAAGAAAATCTGCTTGATTTCTTTTTGTTTTATTTTGGAACTCAACTGCACAGGACTGTATGATCTGCTTTGATTGAGTTAAGATCATTTCTTTTTATGTCATGTTGAAATTAGAAATTAATTAGAAATCAGACAAGCCTTTCAGGTCAAATGTGATTTATTTGTTGTGGGAAAATATGTTATTTATTTAGCTGGATATTAGGTTTACTGTAAATTGGTTCTACAAGACAAGTTCTACAAGATGGATAATATATATTTCAGGGGTCAGTAGGGCTATTATCTGACAAGGATTGTTGCTAATGAGAACTAAAGCTGATGGTTTACAGGTTAACACCCATCCACTCTATTTCCATCAATAAACGATAAGCAGCAGTATTGGTTTTTAGTATTGATGCTCGTGGTTACTAGTGTTCTGTGAACGAGACATCCGAGCCATATAGCCACGGAACATCGCTGTGTCTCTTAAAAACACATTAACATGTCAGTATTGGCTACCCTGATAAGTATTTAAGATAACATTTTCCAGTAATGAATTTGCTCTCAGTTTAAATTGTTAATAGAAAGAATCCCATATCCCTGCCACCAGGAAAAGATTAAAACGAGTTTGAAATGGATATTTACTGGATGAGAAAAACACAATGAATTTTTGATTATCTGACTAAATAAAAAGAAAAAAGAGGGCGAAAAAGAAAACCTGATCAACTGCCTATGTAAGTAAAGCTTTATTTACATAGCACTTTTTAAAACTCACAGTTACAATTGATTTGTGATTCACAAACAAATAAATATATATAGATATACATAAACACACATATGTATATATACAAATTAGGGGTGTAACAGTACACACAAGTCACAGTTTGGTACGTACCTCGGTATGGGGGTCACGGTTCGGTACGGTTTCGGTACAACGGAAAAAAATAATTTAAAAAATCACATATAAAAGACTAGCTTTTTTTCATTTATTTTGAACAGACACCAATTGACTGCAAAATAAAAAAACATCTCCTGTTATAAAAGTAAAATATAATTTTGAATAAAAAATAAAAGAAATGTATTAGGGGGTCTCATTCTGTTAATACAGAGGAAAGATAACACTGGCTGTCTTTTTAAGTGACAGATGGGTTGTTTTGTGCAGTTTTAGGTTTTCTCCACTGAGATTAATGTCATTTTTTTTGTCTTTTTGTAACTACTTCTTCTTCTTCTGTAATGACTGTTTCTGGCAGCTTTTAGGCTCATTACTGCCACCTGGATTAAAGTGAGGACTCGACTTTTTTTTAAACTCACTCAGACGTATTTGTCGTATGACTGCGTACACCGAACCGTGACACTAGTACGGTGACGGTTCGGGACGAATACAAATACCGTTACACCCCTAATACAAATAGATATATACATACGCGCACATACAAAAAAAAACATACTAACGTATGGATGAAAAAACAAGAGGCAAAAAAAAAGGTTAAAAAAAGAGAAAGACACATCTAAACTTAGTAAATATACACAGTGAAGAGGGTCTATGAAGAGGCCTCTCTATAAAGGTGGGTTTTAAGGAGTTGCTTAAAACCGTCCAAGATTCAGCAAATTTGGGTGATTGAGGAAGAGGATTCCAGAGGGTTGGGTCACCTCTTGTTTTGCAGTTGGAGCGAGGGATGGATAAAAGGCCTGTATGTGTATACAGTATGCAAGTGAAATAAGTATCAGCTACCTTAACACTCTGTAACACTCGGGGTATAGGTGACAAATACACTTATTATATTCTAAAATAAATGTTTTATACACACACTGTGGGCTACATGTCCTACATTTCGGTGCAAATATCTGAAATTGTAAATGATCCTCTGGTTAGTTTTCTAAAATATTTAAATCTTATTTCGTGAAAAGTATTTCCTCTGGTTTATTGTAAGACTTATAAGCAAACCAGTAAGATGAGGCTTTGTCAGTTTGTGTGTTTTGCTGTTGCGGCTCTTCTCTCGTCTGTGCTGTTTGTCAGTCTGCTCCCACACACTGAGAGCCCCAGAGAGCCAGCAGGATCATCTCACCTTTTGGCTTCAGTTGGAGCGTGGACTGGCTGCTGAATTGTTGAGCAGGCTTCAAACACAATGTCTGTCTTACAGTTATGTAGTCTTGTCTTAAACCAGAGCTTTCCCAATGCCACAGCTCTTCTGTCACTGATTTTAGTATACAAATAGTATTTATTAGCATAACAACCTTAACTGTTATTGTCAGTATCAGCAGACAAACTAATCAATTCTAAGTATTTGCGGTAAGTTTTCTACACTAAAATGAATCAATAGAAAATATAACGAAAAGGTAACTTTAATATGAACATAACAGATAAATGTAGCCCTTGGAAAATACTCACATTCAACAATAGGTTTCATGTTAACATAATTCAGTCAAATGTCACATCCCTGTGTGTTATGTACACCACTTGGCTATTGTTCATTCAGTCAACAGCAGAAAAAGGTGTTTAGTTGTTAACACTCACACATGCTGTGTGTCCAGACCTGCACACCACCATGTAACAGCCTTGTAACCAAGTACGGCATTCTCCTCTTTCATTTACAAGCCGCCTGCCTCAGATCTTGTGTGTGTGTGTGTGTGTGTGTGTGTGTGTGTGATTTGTGTGCACAACATTCGCCCCCATCTACCTCCCACTGACGACTTTGGAGATGGTTGTCATGGCGACACTTCAAATGCTGCTGATGAACTGATAGGTCGCATTTGCCTTTCTTTGCGAACGGGCGATGGCTGTGTGATGATTCACTGTGGGCACAGAGCTGAGGAGCCAGTAGTCTTTGTCAGTACTGAGATGCTGGCAGCAGCACAGCCCGCACCGTAAGATGCCGCTGTACCGAGGACGACACTCCTTAGCCGGGGAGGTGACAGGCAGCTTGAGGAGGCACAGCCGCAGGCACTCTGCCTCGGACATCCTGCTCAAGGTCCTGCAGCGCAGACGCAGCTCTGCCCTGGAGATCCTCTCATCGTCCTCCCACAGAGTCATGGTGGCGGTCAGCATGAACCAGCCTCAGCCTCCCACTGAACGCAAGACCAGGAGATGTAACCACACTGAAGAAATAATTTGTGCATTGATTTGGGGGTTTAAATGATGGATTCTGCTGTGAGGAAAGCATGCAATAAGCAATGATGACTATTGTCAGATTGTTCTTGTGTATTTTTTTTTTCTCCGCAGCCAATGCAAGGGTCCCTACAGCAAAGTACACCAAGATGGGGGAGACCCTGAGGCATGTCATCCCCGGTCACATGCAGTGCTCCATGGCCTGTGGAGGGAAAGCCTGTAAATATGAGAACCCCTCTCGCTGGAGTGATGAGGAGCAAGCCGTTAAAGGACTCTACTCGTCCTGGTACGTTGGCTACATTTCACACAGCCCTCAGTGTCCGTGTGCTTGTCCTCTCAGTGCTGTGTCCACATCAGTAATTACAGAAAAATCAATACATTTGTCCTGGTTTTTGCTTTGCACTATGATCTGTTTTTAAAATGGAATCACTAAACAAGTGAGATCTTAAGTTTCAGTGTGTTTGCATATCTCTTCCCTTAAAGCTGCAGTAGGTCATTCGCGGTCACTGGGAGGCTGAAACTGAGAACGATGGAATGACGCTTTGAGTTGGTGTCTTGGAGATATTTGATTGTTGAGTTTCATTACCAGCATCAATATTTGACAACCTGGAAATAAACTCTCACAATCAACTATCGTTCTTGGCTCTGATTGGTTGTTTTTTTTCCAGGCCCAGTGTACTTCTGCAAATGTCATTAGGAGCACTAGGAGGAGCCAGAGGAACCAGATGTTTTTCACAGATTATCTGTCTCATGTTCTACTGTCAGGATATTGTGAAAGTTTCTGCAAATATGACAAAAATATATATTTTTTAAAGTTACCTACTGCAGCTTTAGTATTAGTCTCTTTGGTATTTTTGTTTAGTTTAGTTCAATTTAGTTGTCTTTAACTGGCTAAACAGTCTTAATTTGCTGTATACACCGCAACTCCCCCTAACTTGTCATATTCTCCACTTGCAGGATTACTGACAACTTGCTAGCTATGGCAAGGCCATCCACTGAAATCATAGAGAAATATAATATAATTGAGCAATTTCAAAGGTATGGTAATCTCCTTCATACACAACTCGTTTGAATTTGAATGTTTGGTTTGATTGATTTGATTAGTTATTAACATTTAGATTAACAGTGAAATGGAGGTTAATTGTTGAATGGTTTGCTTCAGAGCTGTCACATGTCAGTTTGTAAGAAAATATCGAATAACATTATATCACAATGTTTTGTTTTGAGATATTCAGAGGTGGGAAGACAAAGTACAAATATTTTGTAACTGTACTGAAGTAGTTTTTTCAGGAATCTGTGCAGTTTTACTTCTACTCCTTACATTTTTACATAAATATCTGTACTTTCTACTCCTTACCTGCATTAATGCATTTGAGGGGAATTACCAATTAATAATTGTTTTTTTTGCATCATTGCACAACATCAAGTCCGGTACATATCACGCATTACAGACATAGTAAGACGAAACAGACAAGAGAGGGAGACTCAAACCCATTTGAGGTTTCAGAGAAACCAAGAGAGTACTTTTTCCTTTCATATTTTGAGTACATCTCAGAGCCTTTATTTTTTAAATTTTACTTGAGAAAAGATGTTGTGTCCGTACTTCTACTCTTATAGACGGATTCTATACACAAGGACAGTTTTCCTAAAATCAGATTTTTTTAATCGTAATATATCGTCTTGCTTAAATACAGGTACTTCTGTAATGTCTGTGTTGTGTTGTCTTGTTGCGGTGTACTGCATGGTTTGCTCTGTACTCTGACACGGACCTGTTGCTGTGCTCAGGTGTGGTCTGAAGACGGTCATTAACCTGCAGCGGCCCGGAGAACACGCCAGCTGTGGCAACCCGCTTGAGCAGGAGAGCGGTTTCACTTATCGACCTGAAATTTTCATGGAGGCCGGCAGTGAGTCTCTATATCCACCCTCTCCAACACATACCAATAAAATATGCAGTGTTAGTTTGACTTACAGGGGAAGTAGGGGATGTGATGAGAAAAGCTAAATCCACGAAATAAACATCAACTGATGGAGATATGTGTTTTATAAATGAATTTGAAGTGAATAATTTGATTATCCATTGAGCCATGCACACATAACGTGCTGTTTTTTTCCATTTGGGGAAAAAAGATAAAGTATGTTGGTTTGTATAAAAAAGATGGAGTCGTATTTATCAAATCAAAATGTTTGTATCAGTTAATGGGGCTGCACCACACATACAGTAGAAGTTCCAAGAGCTTAGGTAAATCTACAGGCTGGTTACTGCCACAAACTCTTAATTACAGCAATGAACAGTTAGAAAAACAGCTAGCTAGCTAACAACAATCCATAAACTAACACTTGAATTACTAGATTATTAGAAGTTTTAGCATCTACACAATGCTCTGGCAACCACACGTCACTTGAATAAACTGATCAGAGATCAGATTTCCACTACAACAGCTCAGTGCACTGTCTGTATGATTATATGTGTTGAAAACGATACCTCAGCTGACAAGGACTAGGTAGACTGCTTAATGCTAGTTCCTATTGGGAGGAGTAAAGTTTACGTATGAATTTTGGAGACACTGATGACCAGAATATGTCCAGATTGTCTTTATTGAATGCTTCTTAGCTTGAAGTATAAATAGGGCTTAAAATGTAGTCTAATAGTGGCCATTTTTACTTTTACTCGTATTATAGAGGTTGCTACAGCAACTTCAGTCATTCCCCTTAGTTCATTTTAAATTACATTTCAGACAGTAACACAATAATATTGCTCAGCTAACAAGCTAGAGTTATGGCAAAAATAGATGAAATTATCCAATAATGAAAGCAATGCAGTCCCTTTTAATACACCAGTTGCTCTATTAAAACCAATATTTTATGAATAATTATTATGAGGCAGCAACTTCTGTGTTTACATTGTCGATTGATTTCTGATTGGATGCCACTGGAGATGTTTCCTAGCAACAGATTTACATATTAGTGAGGGCTTCAGTTCATTAGTAGTAACAGCCTCTCATAATGTAGTGAGGACTCTACATGTAAACTGATTAATGGATGTACTTATAAATAAGTGGTGCTGCCTATCCCTGATTGTACAAGATGTAGAGGATGACTGCACGACCAGAGAGCAGCAGTAGAAAAGTAGTCTCTGTGGAACCGTTTCATCCCTGTCTCAGCATTCTACATGAGAAAGAGCAGCAGGTAGAGACTAAGGTAGATGCAACTTCTTCCTCCGACCTCCAACCATCAGTGTTTTGTGTTGTGCCTACATCCGGTACGTGATATGGTCCCTAGTAACCACATAATTACCAAGAGAATCCACATGTGCCTTTGGGGGCTGGCAATCTTTGATTTATCTTCCTAACAAGCTCTCATGAGATCTTTTCCCAAGTCACCTCATCGAAACATCAGCTGCATTACAAATAGTGCTGACTTTCATTTGACACTCTTCAAAGCCTCCATTGTAAACACTGGCTCTTGCTGTAGGTCATTGCTGTAGGTCATTATCATCCTCAGTTCTTCCTACTCCAGTTTTTTTGACATTTACTGAACTCTCTAGAGCCCCCCTTTCAGACATTTATGTAAATGTGCTGGCAATATAACATGTCGGTCTCATTTCTGAATAAGCACATGAGTCACTCTTATGTAAAAGGCACTACGGCAGTCTTACCAGTTGGAACCTATCAAAGTCTGAACTCAATGCTGTCAGATTGATGTAAAGGTAAAACCTGCATATAGAGAGACTAAATACAAGTCTTGTTCCGTTGCCTAAGATCACAGAATACATTTATTATCTCAGTCTTTATCCTTATGCACAAAGAAAATCTGATCTTTTTAATACACCAGAAAACACGCAATACAAGAGCTCGTTGTTAGTTATGGAGTAGATTCTTCTCATATCAGTCTGTTAAAATCATTTTCCCTCGTGGTGCGACCGGGGAAGAAGAGATTAAAAATAAAGTTATACAGCCACAGTAATAATCTGACTAACAGTCTCTATTTTTTACATTTTCCTCAGTGATGCAACATGTGAGAGAACAGAAAGTATTTTTCCTTGCTATGGTTATATCTGTAACTCACTAAACCCTAAACTGTACAGTATAACAGTTTTGATGTTATGTCAAAGACGCCTAGGTATTGTGTTGCAGAGATATCTACTGAAGTTACCATGCTAACCAGATAGCCCTGGCCTGTCCTGTCTCGTAAGAGAGGCAAGTGGCGAGTTTGCTACATTACACAAACTTTGCTTTTTTAGTCAAATAAACAAAATAAACACACAACATGTCAAGCAAAGAAATGTTCTACAGAATATTATACAGAAAAATACAACCGTACACCTTCTAAACTTAAGTTTATCTCTTTCTCCAAACTAAGACCCGCTTAATTGCCTTGTTAACTCATTATAAAACTCACTTCATTCAAACTCGATATAAACAAACTAAAACTCACCTTGCAAAAAAAGGCAAATGCGACCAACAATCACCAACTCTGTTTTCTACTAAATCCTTAATTCACTGAGTTAGATGTGAAAATATTCTGGCTCTACATGCTGTCGCTGCCTCTCTGATGCCCAATATCCCTCTCGCTCCTCTCCCTCTTGATGCCTCTCTAGTCTCCGCCTGAACCAGCCATGTCTTCATAGTCCCCAGAGTCAAGGTCCGGGGCCGCTGTAAATCACCTTGGTACTGTATTTCCTGTCATCAAATTGGCCTCAGTCGGTCCAGATGGAGGCTGCAGAGCCCAATAGCTTTACCCGCTTGCCCAGCTCCGGTTCTGGTGTCGATTCCAGCGCCTGCCAGCATTCACCATTGTGCAGTCCAACAGTGTTATACGAGTGCAATCCCAAATCAGTAAATAAATTATTTTAATGTAAAAGACAACTCTGTCTGAAGCAGAAAAATCCAGAACTTTAACAGATAGCTGAAGCCAGCAGTGTTATGTATTGGGCGTCTGAAAAGGACCTCTTTGTGTATTTCAGTTTATTACTACAACTTTGGGTGGAAGGATTACGGTGTGGCATCTCTGACTACAATCCTTGACATGGTGAAAGTCATGTCATTTGCTGTCCAAGAGGGGAAACTGGCTGTCCACTGCCATGCTGGTCTTGGAAGAACAGGTTTGTAACACCAGCAAATTGGAATCTCTTATCCTCATTTGTGCTTGTAAAATATCAATTTAGTATGTTTCATCATTTAGGTGTGTTGTTGGCTTGTTACTTGGTTTTCACGTCCCGGATGAGTGCTGACCAAGCCATCCTGTTTGTGCGAGCCAAGAGACCCAACTCCATCCAGACCAGAGGCCAGCTCCTTTGCGTAAGGGAGTTTGCGCAGTTCCTGGTACCTCTCCGAAGCGTCTTTTCCTGTGCAGAACCCAAAGCCAGCGCTGTCACCTTGTCCCAGTACCTTACCCGGCAGCGCCACCTGCTGCACGGCTACGAGGCCCGACAGATGAAGAACGTGCCAAAGATCGTCCAGCTGGTTTGCAGGCTTCTCGTCGACATCGCAGCCAACAGACAGGCAGTGATAGAGGAGGAGTGGCTGGAGATCCCTGACCTCACCGCTGAGGTGGAGAAGACCGTGTCCCAGCAGGCTCTCCAGCAGCTCGGGAAGGAGATGAGAGGGAAGGGGATTCCTGTTCCACCTTGTTCATCCCATCCTCTCAGCCCACCTGCTCTGCAGTCTGGACCTCCTCACGATCAACCTCTTGCCAGCGATAACGAGCTTGACCCTCTGTGGAGACAGCAGAATGCAGAAAGCCCTCTGAGATCCTCTCTGTCCAACAACCGGCACCTCAGTTACAGCGATTCTGTCCTTCACAAACTTGGAACACGGCAGCACCATTTAGAAAATCTGAAGAGCAACAAACCAGTCAACTGCCTGATCAAACATTCCTTGTCTCACAACAGCCTTACAGTCCGTAACCCACCCAGATTTTGTGACCCCTCTCCTCAGGACTTTATCAGCAGCATTCAGGACCCCAGTACAAAGGCAAAGCAAGACACGGGATCCCCCTTTATAAAAAGGCATCTACGCAAGGGATGTCAAAGTTTGTCTTTAGATCTCTCTGAGCAGGGAAGAAGATCCAACTGTAACGCCACACTGCTAGCCTTATCAACCAAGAGCAAACTAGTAACCAGCGAGGAGCAGCCATGTGTGGATGTGTTGGTGGGTGAAGGAGACACAGGCATTGTCAGAGAGGTTCCCTTCATCGCTCTCCAGTCTGAGCTCTCCCCAGAGAGCAGGCGCCTGTTGGTGACCAAGGCTGTGGCCTTGGACGTGAGCGACAAGGATCTCACCTCCAAGGTGTCACTGTGGCAGGTAGGGAACCTCATAAAATACTCTCAAATACACCAAATACACATATGGACAAACCAAACACTGGCTTTAGATTTGTAGGTTTCTCCTGCACACTTCACAGCCCGCTACAGATGTGAGCGGTGTTCAGTTAATTGCAATGCCAGTAAATCCTACACACTGGTCCTTTAAGACATGCCCATTGTAATATCGTCATATACCTGGAGTCTCAGCAGGTTCCCTGGCAACCTCAGCTTCAGGAAGTCACTACGCCCTGCCCACTGTATTTATATTCTGTTTTTGGACAGATTAAACATACTTGATATAATGTGTTGAGTAGTGAGCTTTATAGGTGCTGGTAGGTGGATTATTTTACCTTTGGACACTTGTGTCCAGTCTTTATGCTAAAGCTGGCTCTTCCTTCATACTATATAACAGACAGATATAAAAGTCGTATCCATCTTCTCATTGAACTCTCGGAAAGAAAACAAATAATTGTATTTCTAATTGTTAAACTGTTTCTTAAACCAGTGTGTAGATTTAGTGGCATCTAGTGCTGAAGTTGCAGATTACAACCATTTGAATACCTTCCAAGTGTGTATGAGAAACTTGCAAAAAAATGCTAAAGGCCCTATCTACAGCCAGTGAAAATGTCCATTCTGGGCTATTGTAGAAACATGGTGGTTCCTCATGGAGGACTCCATAGTAGAGGACCCAAACTAATAAAAGATACCTATGAATATTATAATCCATTTCTGCCTTTAGATCCTCCTAAATGTCACACACTGGACCTTTGAGTAAATTGTTGTAAAGTTAAAGTAAGTTAGGGGAGGTGTAAATAATTACATGCTTCATGTAAATACAGATTTCACAGGTTATTACAGTGTCTGTATTAACAGATTTTTCCCAATTACCTGGTTTCCAGTGTGTATGTAAACACACTGAGCTTTATAGATTCTTACAGTGTCAGATGGTAGAATGATTGAATTAGTCCAATCCAATGGAAGATGCACTCCAATGTTCACCTGCTCCAGTGAAGCCGAAGAGAAAATGTAACATCCAGTGCTACACATCCCACCTTATAGCCACCAAGCTGTAATTCTGGGAAATCAGCAGCATCCTGTTTTGCTGGGTTGAAGTCTTGGTGATAGTAGACTCTAATCCCCTAAGTGTGACTGGCAGGTTGTCACTTCCTCTAAAGCTGCAGAATAGGATTTCACTCACGTGGCACTTGCTCAGCTCTTTAGTTGGTGTTAGGATTTCTTCATTTCTTTTATCCACAGATCAATGTGAGCATGATTAATATTCATTACACTACATACATTCAGAGCTCCATTTATTGGTGAACTGTTGTTTAGTTTTGAAAATCCCAACCCTAAAAACACACCCTTGGCTGTGCTGTGCTAATTTTTCATCAATGAACTGTGTAACAGACAGAACAATAACAATTTTAGTCCTTTGTTATACCTGATATAGTGCCTCTTCATTTCCATCAGCTCGTTGTCAGAGTACTCTTTGTTGTGATGTGCAGACGGAGCTGAACTCCAGAGAGGGAGCGTGGGAGAGGCTGTGTATGGAAAGAGATCCTCTGGTCCTGTCCAGTCTAATGTGGTCATGGCTGGAGCAGCTCAAGGATCCAGTCATCAGCAGTGAGGATATAAAAGCCCTCAGTGAGAAGAACGTGAACCCACAGAACGCCCTCGACTCGCTGGAAAAGGTAATATTTCCAGCATCACAGCAACAGGCAGTTTTAACTCAGTGTCCAGTAACACTGTAAAACTTGATTAGAGTTCTAGCTGTTCTCAAAATACTATAAGTCCTTTATTCATTGTTACTGTGTTAAAGGCAGTCCACACTGACAGCATGTTCTGGACAGATGCACTTCCATTTCTACAAGTTCTACTGTTTTGTACTAACAGAGAATGATGAGTGTCTGAATCCATCACACTGCCAGTTCGGAACACAACCATCAAACTAAAAACTAGGGATGAGCCAGTTCACCATTATCCAAAACCGGGTGTGTGCAACCAACTAAATTATCTGTATTCGGAATGGGCGGGGCTTAAACCAGACATGGGTGGTGCTTATGTTAACCAGAAGTTGCTATATTTATTAGAAAACTATTTACAGAACTTTAGAAAAGTGTTTGTGATCACTAGACTAGAGCAAGAGAAATATTTACAAATAAAAAAACTTTTTAAGAATAAAAGTATATTTGACATGTTTTTCTTAGTTGATACTTGTACATGAAAAAAAACTATACTGCTTTATAAACTACTGTATTTATACAGAACCTTTCATACAAACATGCGGCCCAAAGGGCTTTTGGAGAAGTTTGTCTGAAAGTATTATTTTCAAGGATATTGACAGAGTTGCACTTTTACATATAGGGACAACATTGTCCATCAACACTACACTTAAAACTGAGCAAATATAGTCTGCGTGCTGCCAGTTTAATTATTATTATTGTATTGGACCAGTACAGGTCAAAAAATGTCACCAATCTGTCGTTCAACAGTAGAAATCCTGTAAAAACTGCTGGACACAGTTATCAGTCATTTATTGTCCAGCATTTTAATCTGTGGTCTTCTCGACCTCATCATTTGTATCACTGTCTTGTATTTAACAGCCACTATGAGAATGTTCACTAAACTACACAGGGCCGTATTTACTTATTTTCAAATGTGTAAACCACAGTATTTGCCAAGAATAGAAATATAAAAAGCAGTTTGAAGCCATCATTCAGCTTGTCATTGGACTGTCTGTTTATTCATATGGTTTATGTGATACTGTTGTTGCTTTTAAAAGGAATTTGAAATCTGATAGTATTTTCCATCCTCCTCCCCACTGACAGGGCCACAGGCTCACTTTGCTGTGTATCCTTGACTGTGTTGCACATCTCCTGCCAGTGCCTGAAGAGGTGGAGACTAGTTTTCTCAATCAAACAATAAAAGTGTTTACTAAGGTGAGGATTAACACAAGGTGCATATTGAATATATTAAGAACAGACATGCACTGATTGATCGACCAGAGTAGACATTTTTCACAGCAGATGTTTTGAAATGAAATACTAGGGTAAACACAGGTGTAGCCAGGGTGAAGCTTTTGATCATGTTGGCTCAATGGAAAGGCTCTGCTACACAAAAACAATCGAACAGAACCTTAAAGCTGCAGTTGGTAACTTTAACAAAAAAAACTTTTTGTCATATTTGCTGAAACTTTCACTGTATCCTAACAGTAGTAAATGAGACGGATAATCAGGTTCTTCTGGCTCCTCCTACTGCTCCTAATGGAGAATCTAACGGGCCTGAACTAAAACAACCAATCAGAGCTGAGAAAGATATAAAGACGCTTTGGGTTGTAGGCTTGAAGATAGTTGATTGTTGAGAGTCAGAAAATGTCAGTATTTGACAACCTGGGAATGAAACAACAAATACTATCTTTCTAGGCTCTGATTGGTTGTTTTCATTCAGGCCCGGTGGATTCCTGCAAATACCATTAGGAGCTCTAGGAGGAGCCAGAGGAACCTGATTTATTCACAGATTATCTGTCTCATGTTCTACTGTAAGGATATAGTGAAAGTTTCAGCAAATATGTTATTTTTTATAAAAGTTGCCTATTGCAGCTTTAATTAGTGTCATTGGCAACACTTGTGTTTACCCTACTATTCCATGTCAAAATGGCTGCTGTGAAAAATTTCTATTATGAGATCAGTTTCATATACACCAGATTCTGTGCTGCTCAAATTTACATACATGACAGCCCACTGTTGTCACAGCCACACACACCCTAAAATGAAATGAAAAAAATCCCCAATGCGAGGTGATAATACACTAATGAAAACATAGCTATGAATAATATATTTTATCTCTGCCAATAGATCCTCCTAAATGTTACACACTGGACCTTTGAGTAGAATTGAAATGGTGAAATAAGATATACTGCAGTCATTTTCAGTTGGATTTTATTTACAAAAAATGAAAAGTCAATATTTTATTATGAACGTAAAACTGATTTTCCATTCAAAAAAGGTTACAAAAATATTTGTGTTAGCAGTCAATTATAGATGTTAGAAAGAAAGAAAATCTGAATCAGTAAATCAGACTTTTAAAAGATTCCTCTGTTCGCTCCAGATTGACCCTGCCTCAGAGAAGAACGAGTCCTTGTACACGACCCTGAGAGCGATCCTGAATCCCATTCTTCATGAGCTGCAAGACAAAGCTGCAGAGGAGAATGAAGACTCCTGAATCCAGCGTGAATGGGACCGGTCAGATACGACCCACAAACAGGGTTTTGCTCTCATATTTTGGGCATTACTGTATTTTAAGCCAGTTCCTTGCACCAGATACTGCTCTGCCAATCTTTAGTCTTTCAACATATTTGAAGACTATGTCATGTTTAGCGTTTTGTTTTTCCTCAAAGCTCTTAATAGACTCTAAGCCAGCGGTTCCCAACCTCCACTAGGGGTTGCCCAAGCTTCACAGGGGGTCATGAGGCCTTCTTGATTTTAAGGGGTGTGAGAAAACTTTTTTTTACAAAAACAGTAGGCCAATTGCTTTGCATTTAATTTACTAGAAGCAGAAGAAAACACAGATTTTTTTCAAAAAAAGAACCCTATGTGTGATTGTTAAAAATGACAAAAAAGGGCATCATTTTTAATTGTAGAAGACGTTCCTAAAAATATCAGGAAAAGTCATCTCTGATCAATATTCACAGTTTATCAGCTCTTCTCTACTGTTATTGTTATGCATTGACTATAATATGAAATATCCATAAAACATGTCAGCCAGGGGTCATCAGTTTATTCAGTGATAGTAAAGGGGTCCCCTAAGGAAACAGGTTGGGAGCCACTGCTCTAAGCACTGCCATTCTCTGTGTTAACGTGCCACTGTGCTCAGTGTGAAAGCATTTGTTTTGTCTGCTCTACTGTAATATTTATGAAGGACTAGATGTTGCTTTTAATATCTAACTGTTAGTTGGTAGGGAAACGACTGAGAAACGCTCTCATGATGTTCATGTTATTTAAATGTGTAACAGCTGTCAAAGTTGTTTGGGGGGGGGGCATATTTAAACCAAAAGATGTTTTTACACTGTGCAGATGCTACAATGTGTCTTATTTATTCAGATCTTTGAATTTGAAATGCAGCAGTTGGTTTAATAACCTGATGATAAACTAGGAAGTTGCTTTGTCTGTGTAGAATGTTGTGTGTTCTTAGAGCCAAATGCAAACTGTGGCTATTGTTATGGCAATGCAAATTCAACGGGCGCAGTGCATTTGTTTTTCCAATCATTTCTATGTCCTAAATACCGCGTGCACCAAAAATCTCTCAGTGTACTGTTCCGTTGTACATGCATTTTGTAAAACATCAATCTGCCTCCGCTGTTGCTGCCTCAAGTCAGATGGCCTCTGTCAGGACTCTGTATCATGCTGCTGTGGGTAACGTCACCTCGCCTGTGTGTGTGTGTGTGTGTTTGTGTGTAGCTGTTGAGACGAGTCAGTGGTCGCCTCTCACCTCATATATGTCTCATATGTAGACACAATGTAATGTAGATCTGCTGACATGCGCCGAATGTGGAACGCTGACGATAATAATAATAATACGAAGGACATGAGACGTTGTACTGTGGGGAATTTTCAACAAGCACTATTTTTTCATTGTTACAACAAGCTACTTCTTACAGAATTAAACTCAACTTACTGCAAGCTGTGTGGACTGTGTGTTTTCGTGGACTTTTTGTAGGCCACTGTTTCCCAAACTGTTTCTCTGAGAACGCATGTTTTTCACAAATGACAACCATAGCAACCCAATTCACATTGAGAAGAGCAAAATTGTGCATAAATAAACGTTCCTGACGATTTTCTGCATCTCGTTGTATAACAGGTAAAGCAGCCATTTTGAAGAGACATACATTTGATAAATCACAACTTCATCATCAGTAGAACAATACACATTTAAAATACTTAACAAATGAAACAAAATGAAAGCATTGAGTTTTTTTTCTCTCAGTAAAACAATGTCCGGTAATTTGGAGAGCCAATCTCCTAATAGAATGTGTGCTCACTTTATAAATTAGACAATTTAAGTGCAAGGTAAAAATGAGGGTAAAATCCTTTTTTTAAATATATGTTTTGGGCTTCTATTGCTGACAGTGACAGCTGAAGAGTGACAGGAAAGGGGGAGACAGGGGCCACAGGTCGAAGTCGAACCCTGGGCCGCTGCAGCAAGGACTCAGCGTTGATACATGGGGCAACAGCAGATGAGCTATAAAAACTAATTTAAAAAGAAAAATCTAATTACTGATCCTCTAATTTTCTCTATTATTGTGGGTAATTATTATAAAATATAATGTATAATAGCATATAAGATATCCAAATCGTATTTGCCATTCCCATCTTTCTAATTCCCTGCCAGTCAAAACAATTCAGGGAAGTTCAGAAGTGTTATTTTGTTTTTGTATTTTTTTTACATTTGCTGCAGTGTTGTCAATGGCTTTTAAAAACATCTTACAAAAGGGGGGCTGTCCAAATGAATGAATCTAGAAAATAATTAGTCCCAATCTCAAACAAATCGTTTTTGGATTTAAAGAATGTATATTTTTGTGTACAAGACCTCATATTTATATAATCTCCTGATGCAGAACTCCAGCAGTCTGCAGCTTTGTTCCACCAGGTGGCGCTCTTACCAGGTTCCAAGGGTTTCTACTGACATGGGGAGAAAGCTTTCTCTTACTTTGCTCCCTGGACTTAGAATCATTTGCAATAATTGCAAATACATACTGCAGCTTAATGATCTAGTCCCATTGGAGGAATTTAAAGCCATATTAAAACTCCATGTAACTGATAAATGCAACTGCCTTGTTTGAGCTGGTTTTAGTCCTTTCTCTTGTGTGTATGATGTTTGTTTTCCATGTCATCTGAATTATAACTGGTGTCTCTTGATCAGGAAAGGGAGGGACTTAATCAAACTATTTGATAGAGTTATCAGTTGTATTTAAAAAATAATGAGGTTTCTCAATATTTTGAGGTGTTACGATACTTATTATATTATAATGACTTACAAAATCTTTTTTGTCACATTGGCGGAAATGGGCTTCCATACAGAATGAACGTCACTCCCGTACAGTGTGTGGTTTGAGTGGTCGCGGTAGTGCACACTCCGAACAGCAGGGGGAAGTAATGGCTTATTTAAGCTGCGCCGACAGACCGCGATGAAGAGGCAGTGAGAGGGTGGAGGAGCGTTTCGACATGGCAGACAGGTGGGGAGACTGTACTAACCACACATTTTTAAACAATTACACCTCAATGCACAGCCGTGTGTTCAGTAAAAGACCTCGGTATAGCCACCGGGGTTGTTTTGTGGCGGGAGAGCCAGCTGCTCTACTTTTATCCGACGTCTGCTTTTCTGGACAACCATGCTGGAACGTGCTGCTAGCTAGCTGTTAGCTCGGTAGGGCTAGCTAGCAAGTTGTAAGGAGTGGTTAACTGGCGGGTCGCTGTCGGTGCGCTGAAACCACCGAAGCACTGTGGAGGTGTCTCCGTTTACTACATTCACAAGGACTTTACAGTCGGTGGAAATGTCCGGATAAGGCGTTGTAGTTCTTAAATGCCCAGTCACGTTGGCTAATTATTAGAACTAGCTAGTTAGCTTCCCTGTTGAAGGAGTGTCAGTCTGCTCCAGTGTCCGGCACCAACGCTCCAGTTCTACTCAACGTGAAGTCATTCCGTCGAAACCCCTGAATCCCAATCCTAGAGACTAGCAAAATAACAGAGCAGCCTTGAAAACGAGTGTTTCACATTTTCCCGGGACAGCAATGGACAGACAGTAGGTTGTGGCTCGGAGGGTTTGCGTTCTTTCAAGACAGGAGGTTTTAGGGGGGCAGGCAGGAGGTTTTGGGGGGCAGGCAGGAGGTTTTAGGGGCAGGCAGGATGTTTTATGGGGGCAGGCAGGATGTTTTAGGGGCAGGCAGGAGGTTTTGGGGGGCAGGCAGGAGGGTTTGGGGGGGCAGACAGGAGGGTTTGGGGGGCAGGCAGGAGGGTTTGGGGGCAGGCAGGAGGGTTTGGGGGGGCAGACAGGAGGGTTTGGGGGGCAGGCAGGAGGTTTTGGGGGGCAGGCAGGAGGTTTTGGGGGCAGGCAGGAGGTTTTGGGGGGCAGGCAGGAGGTTTTAGGGGCAGGCAGGAGGTTTTAGGGGGGCAGGCAGGAGGTTTTAGGGGCAGGCAGGAGGTTTTGGGGGGCAGGCAGGAGGTTTTAGGGGCAGACAGGAGGGTTTGGGGGGCAGACAGGAGGGTTTGGGGGGCAGGCAGGAGGTTTTAGGGGCAGCTAGGAGGGTTTGGGGGGCAGACAGGAGGGTTTGGGGGGCAGGCAGGAGGTTTTGGGGGCAGGCAGGAGGTTTTAGGGGCAGGCAGGAGGTTTTAGGGGGGCAGGCAGGAGGTTTTTAGGGGGCAGGCAGGAGGTTTTAGGGGCAGGCAGGAGGGTTTGGGGGGGCAGACAGGAGGGTTTGGGGGGCAGGCAGGAGGTTTTGGGGGCAGGCAGGAGGTTTTAGGGGCAGGCAGGAGGTTTTAGGGGGCAGGCAGGAGGTTTGGGGGGGCAGGCAGGAGGTTTTGGGGGGCAGGCAGGAGGTTTTAGGGGCAGGCAGGAGGTTTTAGGGGCAGACAGGAGGGTTTGGGGGGCAGGCAGGAGGGTTTGGGGGGGCAGGCAGGAGGGTTTGGGGGGCAGGCAGGAGGTTTTAGGGGCAGGCAGGAGGGTTTGGGGGGCAGACAGGAGGGTTTGGGGGCAGGCAGGAGGTTTTAGGGGCAGGCAGGAGGTTTTAGGGGGCAGGAGGAGGTTTTAGGGGCAGACAGGAGGGTTTGGGGGGCAGGCAGGAGGGTTTGGGGGCAGGCAGGAGTGTTTGGGGGGCAGGCAGGAGGTTTTGGGGGGGCAGGCAGGAGGGTTTGGGGGGCAGGCAGGAGGGTTTGGGGGGGCAGGCAGGAGGGTTTGGGGGGGCAGACAGGAGGGTTGGGGGGCAGGCAGGAAGCTAACATTATGGAAGGTAGGCAGCTGGCCTACCTGCTGGAAGTGGCCCTGTCCTCTGATTTGGGTTTGATGGAGGTGAATCCTGGAGCAGGCTTATTCCTCTAGTTTAATGCTACTGGCTGACTGTTGCACTGTTAAATAGATTATTTTAATTGATCAATCTGTTGGTCATCATCTCAATTCATGGATCAGTTATTTGTTCCAAATGTCAGAAAATGGTGATAAATCTTGCATCGCTGTGTCCCAGAGCCCAAGGTGACGTCCTTAAGTGTCCTCCATGGGGGAAATTTGGAGACAAGTTTTCCAGTCATGGAAACATCTGGAAATTGATCAAAAATAGTCTTTGTTGTCCTGGAAAAGGAGTTTTGTACACAAGCTCCTCAGATTAGAGTTTTGAGTCTTGGCCAAAGCCGATTGGACCCGACTCTACCCGCCGGGTTCGGGCCAAACACTGCTACTGTAGTTCAGGCTGGGACAGAATGAGGTTAATATTTTAATATAACTAATATTTTATGAATAATCCTACTGTAATTGAGTGAATTTGTTTTGATAATATGAACAACAATATATGCACAATGGATTTATTGAGTTATTTGTTTGAGCAGAATTTTTGGTTTGGATCGGGCTAGGGGCCAAAATAGCTGCTGTGGTTCATACTTGTTTTAGAGTTGGGCTCGGGTGGGGCCAGATCAAAGCTCGAACAGAAACCTGTGTGCTTATTTAGTTTGAAACACAACAGTTAGTTACTGCATTGTTACGCTTCAAAGTGGGTTAAACAGACATGAAGCAGAACGGAAGTGCTCCCCTTTCATTTCGGCCACGTCGGTCAATCTAGCTGTTCAGACAGAGTGGAACAGACTGGCTGTAATGAACCTGAGGCATAAAACTGCAGTTCAAGTCAATGCGAGGCCTAACTGTAAATTATGACGGTTTCACTGCGACAGCGAGCAAGTGCTGTCCTGAACTGTCAAGAAAGAAATCCTAGTAAATAATGTATTAACAAGAGTGGGAACCCTGAACCCAAAGATACTCAGTTCAGTCCAATTTGGAAGTTTTTTTTCTTAAATAAAATGACTGAAAACCATTAATTAACAAAATAGTTGGCAGTTAATGTAAAGCCTAATGTATTTGATACAGGTGTAATATGGTGCTCAGACGTTAGTGAGCGCTGTTCTTCGATATGGATGTGCAGTGTAATAATGCAACGCCGGCAGCTGCTGTCCGTGGTCCTGAACTTCAAATGGACACTGGTTTCTCAGGTTGACCTCCATAGGTGTAGGTTTGGTAGTTGCGATCTACATACAGGAGTGTACTTTTTTTCCTTTTTGGTCCAGTGAGGGGACTGTAGATAAAATTGTGCTGAGTTGCCCAACAGTGACTGTGTTGGTCATGTGGAACAACGCTTTTCCTGTTGTCTTGTACTGTTCTCGTACTGTTGTACGGCTCTCAAACACGAGTAGCTGCCATATACTGGAAGTCAACATCTGTGCCCTTCCTGTAGAACTATACGCTGGGGTCAGTAGTTGTTGTTGTTGTTGTTGGCTCAGATGACAGTAGAATAATAGTTTGGCTGTAAAGATTCTTTTAAAAATGTGTCCAGTATCAGCTTCCAGTGTGAACTGGTCCCAGTTCAGTACAGTGACGTGTAGGGCTGCCCCCCGAACACTTGATGATTCATGTCGAGAAGATCCCAAGTGGACTGACATTTTGTTAGTTGAATCTGTGTTTTAGCTGTGTCATTGTACACAGTGCAGTGTGTATGTGTATAGTTTACAAATGGAGAATGGAAGTGAGTGTGCTGGGAGAAGAGAAGAGTGATAGTTTACAGAGGGCAGCGTGGCGTTGGACAGCGGCTCCTCCACTGCGTCCACTGTGATTGAGTGTTTGGTGGACAGCGGCTGGCAGCAGAGACGCTGCGTGGTGCGCTCAGGTTTAAAACTGTACCATGGACAGGAAGCCGTCTCTACTTCCTCTGCGTGGGAGTCTGATGTCTCACGTCACTTTACTTGGACTGAAGCCCTTTGCTCTTCCAGGGACAAATACACTCCGTTTCTTGGTTGGTTGGTCACAGATGACAAAGACTGTGATTAAAATGGACAGAGGGCGATGGGGATACATTTTTAAAGATGGGTTTTGTGGAGCGGTTGCTGCTACTGCTGTAAGGAGGCGTTTTGTGGCGGTAGCACTGATAATAAAACGGTACAGTCAAACATCACTTCACTGTGAGATTGCATCTGCTGTCAAACTGATCATCTGGACACGGAAGGACAGATCAGTTCTGTATTGTTCCAGTTCAGGTGAACTGATGTGGTGTTCAGTTGAAATACCCTGCTGGGTTCAGACCTGTTGAAAACTACCTCAGTTACAATATAATTGATGTAGAATCTAACTTCTCACCCCCCTTACTTTTTGTTCACAGTGCGAGGTCTCAGCTGCCAGAAGATCTGAATTCAGCCAGTTTTCCTCGGTCTGATGAGTCTCTTCATTAAATCTGCCCCAGTCTTCTTCCCTCGCTGCAGAAACCAGCTGACTTTGCACTGTGGGGTGAGGTAGTAGGTTGTATAGTTTTAGGGTCACACCCGCACTGGGAGATAACTATTCAACCTACTGTCTTTCTCAAAGTGCCAAACGCACGTCTCAGCCTCCGCCCCCGCTGAAGGCCAGTTTTCTGACATCAGTGTTTGCATGGATCCAGATGTTTTAAAATGGCAGTTGTTTTATCACAGCTGCTCACACAGTGTGAGGTAGTAGATTGTATAGTTGTAGGGTAGTGATTTTGCCCTGTTCTGGAGATAACTATACAATCTATTGCCTTCCCTGAGGAGTGGCATATCTTCAGGTTTTTTTTTTTTAATGAAATGCACAATGTATATCTGATAAACTATTAGCCAGTAATGGGAAATGTATGTTCTATATTTATGTATTAAATGATCAGTCAATAATAATAAATGATTGAGAGTTCTTATGCAGAATGTTTCATAGGCTTTGTGTGCAGAAATAAAGGAACATTTGAAGAGTCAGAAGTGTTTGTTGTTGTTGTGTTAACAATAGTGCTGTCAGATTTGGTTAGAACAGAGATGTGGCATATTAAATCCTCTATCCCAGCCTTCCTTACCCTCAGCAGGGTTCCCACGTGCCCTGGAGAATCTGAAAAACCCCAACATTTAAATACTGGTTTTCCAGTCATTGAAAACTTTTGGAAATTGACTGACCAAAAATGCTTAAACATTAACTGTTGTCCTGACAATGTTAAATTGTATTTTAGGCAGAAGTAGACAAATCACGAAGGTAATGCGGAGTGTCCTGTAAATGCTGACCACCGCTGTGAGGAAGTGCTTTCCTGTACTGCCAACAATGACTGGATGACTGATTTCTTTAAAAGAGTTGGAACCCTTTCCAGGTGTGCATAAACTACAAATTCTGAACATCAGCAAAACTGAAGTGATCCAGCTATTCCAATCTTCAGAGAGCTCAAGGGACCACTAGACCTCTCCCAGGCCTCTACCACCAGCAGTGACCCGGCCTAGTTTTGAACCTTTCTGAGCATTTCGACCAAAAAGAAATTGGTTCGAACCCGAAAAGATGGTTCCCAACAGAAACCAAAGTGGGCGTGTCATTTCTTATAGTTTGCTCCTGTTTTTTATTTTTTAATTTTGCCTACATAGCAAATCATGTTTCCAGTTATTAATTATTAACCTCGGTTTGAATAGTTCTTTTGAAGGAAATTTCCATTACTACCAAATAATGTAACTCTAGAGCACTAGATATAGACAGTAGATATATTGTGATGGTCCTCTGGTCATTGTTTGGTCCCTTTTAATGCAGCAGGTACCTGAGCTGCCCCCGCCCTTCTGGCCTAGACTCTGCTCTGCATTAAGTAGTGTTCAGCCATCCAACATCTTACTCTCACCGCATGTGGCACTCATGCACCTTCACCACTGACAAACACATCTCATCTTATTCTTAGTTTATTTTGGGTTGCAGATATTCTTTTCTGTTAAAAATAAAAAATATACTAGGACTGCATGTTATGGTAAAAATGTCACATTGCGGTGTTTGACTGATATTGCGATATGATTCACAATTAGTGTGGGAATGATCCTTTTTGCATCAAAAATGGGATTTTCACTGCAAAAGTAAAATCATGTGAAATTAGTTTGGGGCATGTTTTCTTACACTCAGAACAAGATTTGTGGGCAGCACTACAGTTCTTCATTATAATGCTGTTTGTATAGCAAAAAATTGCAGCTTCTGTGTTGCATATTGCACTTGACCAATTTGTTTATTTCAGAAATATTTTGATGGATTGTGCAGCCCTACTTTATATAAATATATAACAGTATAAAGTAGATGGGCTATAGGTTCTTGACCCTGGATATCATTAAAGGGATAACATCCTGTCTCCTTCTGTGCAATTCTATTTTATTGTCTGCGATCATTTGGGGACCCCCAAAATTATGACATGACCTCCTTGGGGGTCCTGATCCCCAGGTTGACAACCACTGGTCTAGAGAACTTACTAGGATATTACAGGCTTGCATCATGAAGTATTACAAATAAATAAATAGTGGAGTAAAAAGTACAATATTTATTAGGTTTGAAGTGGGAGTACAGAGGATGAAAGTGTTATTCTGGCTGACCTCTGTTCTCTACTAGTAATGATAGCATGTTTGTGTCACCTGGTCGGGTGTAACAGAACTGAGTGGAAAATTACAGATGTCAATCAAACTCAGTCTCTACACACCCACTTGGTCCTGAGTAAGAGGTCTAATCAGGCAGGTCCTAATCCTGCACAGGTTGGTCCCTCTGGGTCTCTGCACAGTGTTCACTGCAGTTGATGGGAATTTGGAGGCACCACTTTTGATCAGGATGGTAGTAGTTACACAGTTGTGTCAGCAGGTGGTGTTACAGTCCTTCAGCTCAAACCATCTTCACTGAAGACCACCGTGAATCAGAAGCAGAACAGGGTTTATTGCCAAGAAGGTTTTCACATACAAGGTATTTGTAAGTTGGTGCATTACAATAAACGATAAAAAGAGACTACATGAACCTTATTTTAAATGAATGAGTGAAGAGCTCTACAGTTGGCAGGAATGTGCAATGTAGCAGTGTGACATAATGTATAATGATATTGCAGTGTGCAAGATACAAAGTCTGTGAATCACTGAACACTAATTAACTGTATTTTAACTCAATGTTTAAACACAAACTCCATTTTTTTTAGGTTAAAAAGAAGTGACACTAATTTAGTTTTATGAAACATTCCTGATTAAGTACTTTTTACTGGGTGTTTTGTTCTCACAATACAAATGACAATTACAAAATTAAGTCAGTGTCACCTAAAATGACTGAAGCTATTTGATCAAGAAGGTTTTTTAGTTACAAAATTGCACTGGTTTTACTTAATTTTAGATTTGAGATGTAATCAGTTAAATTAACTTATCTGGTTTTACAGTGAAGAGAAAGTGTGCTCTGATCCTGACTAATGGTTGCTGCTGTTATTATTCCTTTTGGGCCTGACCTTCTGTCCTTTGAATGCCTATGATTATACAAATACAACATTTTATGACCAAAACTCAACCCCACATATTAATTTTTTTAACTTCTTCATGTGTCTTTATGTGGATGGTACACTGACATGTACACTAGCTTGATGAAAAATAACTAAGATGTGGATCTGTCAGTGGTGGAAGAAGTACTCGTAATTAAATTAGTAGCAACACTGCAAATTAAATTACTGGTACCACTATAGACCGCCTACAGATCATTTATAGAGTATTTGTAATGTTTCAGCTGTTTTGCTCTGTCTGTGGATGTTTATCAGATTATCTATAGATTATGTGACAGTTAATGCACATGCCCTAACAGATGTAAAGATATTTTGTTGTGTCTGCACGTAACCAAACCATAACCACAGTGGGGTCATCAGAAAACGAATACAATCTCAACTAGTACTAGTACTAGTGTTAGAAATACTCTTAACGATCTGTAGGTAGACTATCCAAATAAAGTGTTATTATTGAATAAATCTATAATAAAATAGTTAATTATATAATACTATTTAACAATTTAATGCCTGCATTAAAAACTTTACGTAAAGATTCCCTCCAGAAATGCTTTAATACGTATATAAATTGCCCTGCTTTGAACAATAATTTCTGATGTTCTTTTCATCCACTCCTTCATTAAAAGTCCAGAATTTATAAATTGAAGTGTGCACTGGTGGCTTCAAGTTTCTACATCACACTGTACAAGTTGATACTGGACCAGGACTGACTTCCTAACTATTTGTGATGTCACAAATCCTGCTGGTAGACCCCGCCCCTTAAAATCAGATGTTCAATGAGCTCAGAGAAACTTTCCACTTTCAGAAGATGAATGTGAAAACATCCTTCTAGAGTCAAACTCTGCACAGACAGCATTCAAACAGCACACTGTAGGGACAAGGAGAAACACTGATTTCTGACTGGAGGGGACTTTAATAATAATAATCTATGAATAATAATCGGTTATTAACAAAATGTACTGAAAATAACAGCAGTACTCATAGACCTTTTTCACAGCAGGCATTTTGACATGAAATAGTCGGGTTAACCCCCCTAACCAAGTTAGTTTCATTTAGTGTAGCAGAGCCTTTCCAGTCAGCCAACATGCACAAAAGTTTCAACCTGACTCTCTTTGATTAGTATCATCGGTAACACCTGTGTTTACCCTACTATTTCATGTGAAAATGCTGCTGTGAAAAATGATGCAGACGCTCCTATTATTTATTTATTTTTTATTAAATCATTTGATTATTATTTGTATTGGTGCTTGTAAGTAGCATGTAATATAATAACATACATTAAACATTACATACATATACATTATAATGTGTTACAGTGGTTCCTAACATTTTCTTTAAGGGATCTCTTTTCTATCACTGAGTGAACTGACAAAGTGACATATTTTATGGATATTTCATATTCTATTTAATGCTTAACAGTAACAGTAGAGAACAGCTGATAAAGTGTACAATGAACCCAAACAGTGAGCACAGTAACTGCAGGACGTTTGTGTTGATATTTTTTATACAATAATCTGTATTATGTTGGGGTTTTTTACAATCATACATACATAATAGGGTTCTTTTTTTGACAAATGCATTTTAGTTTGTGTTCAGGTCTTTCAAACTTAGATCTTAAATAATAATCTAAACTCTAAAAAATAACAGTTTCAGTTATCATTAGAAATGAATGAAATGTTGAGATATAGACCTGCTGTATATATTCCTTACACTTACAATCAAGAAGACCTCGCGACCCCCTGTGAAGCTTTGATGACCCTTAGTTGGGGTTCTACAGCCTTTCTAGTCTTTCGACCACTCAGTGCGCTGTACACTTCATGCCACACTCACCCCATTCACACACATACACTGATGCAAACTGCTCATCAGAATGGAAACTCGTCATTCATACACTGCCAACCTTCCGATTAGTGGACGACCCGCTCTACCTTTGAGCCACAGCCGCAGTTATAGCATGGGGCATTTTTATGTATACAGCAGGGGCAGATCTAGAGGGGTGTCAGCCAGTTAATGTCAAATGCAGTCAAATGAATGAAAATGAAAATAACATGGTAAACTAAAATTCTCTGTTATGACCACATTTTATAGCTACAAGTGATCTGTGAATGAAAAATTCTGAAGATTTGGAAATAAAACAATGTTTTGGCTTCTCATGCCACCCTTAGATATTTCCATTCAATGCTTACATTTTTACAATAATGTTTTTGAGTTTAAATATCTTTATTTGGGGGCTTTTACAAGTAAATAGATATATGTGACTGTGACCTATTATTTCTGCCACCCCTTAAAGCAAACCTGGGGTTCGAGATCCCCTCTAGGGGTTGCCAAAGCTTCATGGGGGTTGCAAGGCCTTTTTGATTTTAAGGTGTGCTAGAAAACTTAAATAAATATACTAAATATACACAGTAGGCCTATATCTCAGCATTTGGTTCACTTCTTTGAAGAAAAGTAAATGTAAATTGAGCCTATTAAGTCTGTATGATTGTTAAATGCTATGATTAAAAAATACATAATATAGACAGAGAATTGTATAAAAAGTTACCTAAACAGGAAATAATCTGCTCAAAATTCCTCTAAAACACTTGTTTCACACAAACTCCTTGCAGTTACTGAGTTCCATGTTTAGGTTCATTGTACAATTTTGGATATAATATGAAATATACATAAAATATATCACTGAGTCTGGAGTGGTCGGGTTAATAACTAAGAAAAAAGGGGGTCCTTTAGGGAAAAAGATTGGGAACCACTCCATGCCACCCTCTGGACACCCCATGAATATCTCTGTAGATCCGCCCCTGCTGTACAGTGCAGTATATTTTATATGATGGTGTGTTTGTATGGAAACTGTAAGTAAGCTGTAGTGGAGTAGAAGTATAAAGTAGGATAAAAATGGAAATACTCAAAGTACAAGTACCTCAAAATTGTACTAGAGTACAGTACTTGGAATGTACTCAACTACTTTCCACTGGGGTTGCAGTTAATTGGTTTATCATGTAATGTGATCGGATGCACATGGAGGAGGGAGGGGGTAGCAGTGAATCGGTGGGAGGGGCGTTTATTGTTGGAAACTAAATAAAACGTGCCGGTGGTCGGCCGTCTGTCAGAGATGAAGTGATCCCGGATGATCCAGAGTCCGGGAGAGGACGGAGTGTGTGTGAGCGCAGAGCTGAAGGTCTGAGCGGCTCCTGGTCTCGGCTGTACCCGGGTCAGCAGCAGCAGCAGCTGTGTGTGTCACATAGAAAGGACAGATGAGCTGAGCGTGTACCTGCAAGCTGAGAGTGTGTGAGCGGCTCAGAGGCAGATCCTCTGCAGAACACGCCCTGATAGAAAAGGTAGACAGACAGACACACACACACACACACACACACACACACATACACTGATCACTGAGGAGCCGAGCTGCTTTACCTGAAAACAACAGCCCCAATGCTCCAGCTCTGCAGGCTCACACCACCGGACACCTACCAAATGAAATCAGGACGAGTGTATTCCCGCAAACTTTGGTTTGTCCCTCGGAGCTTTCTTCCCGTCTGCAGCCCGGAGCACCTGGACTCCCCGCGGGACTCGGTGGAGGAATAAGGGCTGGTCGTCGCAGCAGCAGAGCGCTAACACACCGGCTGGGCTGAGCACCATGAGTAGGAAGACACGGCGCTGGATTTTCCATTTTTTCCTGTGCCTTGGAGTAGTGTATCTGAAAATCGGGTGAGTTTTCGGGATGTCCTGCGGGTGGTTTAGGTGATTTTAAAGAAAAAGCAGGAAAAAGCTGGCTGATTTTAAGAAAATTGGAGATTTGTTGATAATAGTGAGTGCTGTAGAGAAATGAGGGCCCCTCAGAGTGAGGACTGGGGTCTTTTCTGGCTGTGTGTCCCCCTGCAAGTGGAGTGCAGTTAAATTCATTAACCTTACATACACTCTGCTGTAGCAATGTCAGCGGACCACAAGCAGTTATTATACATGTTTGATAAGTCAGAGCAGTGTCCACGTTCCCCGGAATGGTCACTTGTGAAAACACCTGCAGAACCTCCATAGGAAAATGCCACATTTTAACCTTCCGCCTTCACCGCAGGGGTCTGTCGTCGGTGGTTGCACTGGGAGCGAGCATCATCTGTAACAAAATCCCCGGCTTGGCCCCCCGTCAGAGGACTATCTGTCAGAGCCGACCCGACGCGATCATAGTGATCGGAGAGGGAGTTCAGATGGGGATCAATGAGTGTCAGTTTCAGTTCAGACACGGACGCTGGAACTGCTCGGCCCTGGGGGAGAGGACCGTGTTCGGGAAAGAGCTCAGAGTGGGTACGTTGCACTTTGATTTCATCTTAAAGATCTGTGCACCAAGGAAAACCTATATATTTACTAAGTGAATAGGGTTGTTCTTTGTGCCAATCCACGGGGTTTCAGGACAGTTTTATGTCAATTTTGTTATTTTATCTATGGAGTTCTGTTATGGGTTTAAAGTCATTTGATTGCACTTTATTCTCATATAACATGCACTGTATGCAGACTAAAACTACTATAGGGGTCTATACTATTACAGTGCAGTTGAGTATCAATCTAAATTTTACTATAGAATTATTATTGTAGATTTTGAAGGCAAGAAAGCTGCTAAATTCTCCACTTCACTGAGTTCTTCTGCCACAAAAGACATTGTTGCAACATGTCAGCATGCCTTGATCTTCATAGTTACAGTGCTCACAAGATTGTTTTTAACTAATAAAATAGTTATTACTGAGAAATAAGCTGTTTCATTTTGAAATTGCCGCATAATAGCACACCAGCCGCTCCATAATTGTGTGTTGCTTGGACACAGATAGTCAACACAGCGTGTTTTCTTCATGTATTAAGTTGTATGTTATCTTTACTGTTTGCACTGTCCGAGCATAAGTGTTTAGGAAGTCATAAAAAGTTTTGAAATTTGCCATTGTTTGTCAAAAAACTGTCCAAAAATGCATTCCTCTGAGGTACACGACCTCTGACTTTTTATTTTTTTGTTTTGTTTTGTTTTTTACAAAACATCTGTAAGTCTGTAGCTTGGACTCTCTGCCTCTGCTCTTGGTGGGAACATAAGCCACAGATTTGATCCTGTGTGTGTGGAATAAGGCTTGAGGCGACGCTTGCTCCAAAGACGGGACTGCGGAAATAAGCTGGGAATCATATTTAACAGGCTGGTGCTCCACTGTCTTGTCCTTTAACTGTCATCCCAGAGACAGACGCAGAGCTCGGGTGTCATCTTTCACGCCAAGTGTCATTAAGGATTACAGCTCACGTCTAGTTTGAGCCTTTAATTCAGGCTGATTGCTGCATTGTATGTGACGTCCTTATATTATACTGCCTGAGATGGTTGTAGTATTAGCTGCAACAAATACAAGTACAGTCTGAACGAGTCCTCCTGCCCAGATTACTTTGATGCACACAGTTAAAGCTGCAGTTGGTAACTTAACTTTTGGTCATATTCATTGTAACGTTCACTATATCCTGACAGTAGAACATGAGACAGATAATCTAAATTAAATCAGGTTCCTCTGGCTCCTCCTAGTGCTCCTAATGGCATTTGCAAGAATCCACAGGGCCTGAACGAAAATCAACCAATCAGAGCCAAGGAAGATAGTTGATTGTCTCATAATGGAGTCTCATTCCCAGGTTGTGAAATACTGATGATTTAGGACCCCAAACATCAGTATTTGACCCAAAGCACTGGTATTTAACACCCTGGGAATGAGATTTAACAATTCACTATCTTTCTTGGCTCTGATTGGTTGTTTTCATTCAGGCCCGGTGGATTCTAGCAAATGCCATAAGAAGCACTAGGAGGAGCCAGAGGAACCTGATTGTTTCACAGATTATCTGTCTCATGTTCTACTGTCAGGATATAATGAAAGTTTCACTATTTTCACCTAAGTCACCTACTGCAGCTTTAAATGCTGTTAAAAGATCTATTACCTGTAATGATGCAGGCCTGTATAAACAGCGGTAAAGCTTCCTGATCTGTGATTGTAACGGTTAAGATAATACATTGGCATCTTTTGTTTGATCATTTATACACACTGTGTGTGCATTCCCTCCACCTTCTGTTATATTTCTTAGTTGGTAACACACAGACCTACATGCTTTTTATCCACTCTCTGCTGAACCACCTTCATGTATGTTCATAAAATACTTTCCCCCCAAAAGCTTCAAGTTCAGACAAGTACTTTTTTCTAGGTTTACAAATCTACCTCCAGGTCCTACAGCTTTGGCAGGGGGATGTTTTATGTAGAATGGTTTTAGACCGCTGCTTCAGGAAGGAAGAAAAATGCATATTGTCAGATTTAAGCTCATTTCAGCATTGAGGAATCCACATTTTACCCAAATCTAGATGAGAATCAGGCTGAGTTCCAGCAGCCTGAGCAGGTTGGCTCAGGCGCTGCTCGGGTCCAGCTGCCCTGCGTAGAGTCTGTCTGAATCCATTGTTTTGTTTCAGCAGACTGGAACACTGATAACTGACAGAATACATCAATTTGAGATTTCTGTTGGCAGTGATGCAGCAATGTACAGTATTTTGGCCATAGGATCAAGTATCCTCCCCACCCACCAAGCTGGCTACTTGAAGTAACTCTCAAGTAGGTGGGTACTGGCTATAAGTTGGTTTACATATTCAAATGCCAGGAAACTTGTGTTTGACGTTCTATCTACTTTGCACTTTGAGATTGTCCTTTTAATAGAGAAAAGCAGGTGTGAGCATGGCAGCAAAGATCCACAGCTGCCCATACATTTCAGTGTTTAAAGGAGAACCATGACCTTAAATGTCAGAAAGGTTTGCATGGCGGCATAAACGTGAAGGATGATAACTTTATTGGAGTAATTTTTCAACTTATGGTCATTTCAGGACGCTTTCCACGTGTGCTCTGACTGGAATTATCTCCTGTTTTAATTAAAAAACACAGTTGACCTGAGGCACTCTGATTTATGGAGTGGAAATCCATCCACATAGGGAGGCTCTGCATGCCTCTCAGACTCACCTCCACAGGATGGATCCCAGCGTGACGGCAGCTGGGACAAAGGCCAAAAATTATGCCTAAACATTTCATGTTTTATCTCCCGCTGAATAATGTCAAAAAACATCTTTACCAATCAAATATAGCAGCAGATTGACTGTTGACTGGTGATTTGGTGAAATTATACTCTAAGATTTACAGATAAGTCAGAATTCTTCAGGTTCTTGGATCATAACTCATCATAAAGACAATAAAACCGACCTGCTGCCTTGAATTACTTTCCTTCCATTCTGCAAGATTCAGGTCATCCTGAAGTTTATCTCTTTAAAGAGAGCTTGATTAATGAATGGGACTTGGCTCGGCTCGTGTATTTTATGATTTGGTTTGAGGCAGCTATGCCAGGTATGTAAGGAGGCTTGACACTGCCTGAAATAGTGAATCCTGTTGTCGGCAATTGTGATTAAAAATGTCTTTTCCTCTTTATTGCAGGCAGTAAGGAGGCAGCGTTCACCTATGCTATCATCGCTGCTGGGGTCGCCCATGCAGTCACCGCGGCCTGCACCCAGGGGAGCCTGAGCGGCTGTGGCTGCGACAAGGAGAAACAGGGTTTCTACAACCAGGAGGAGGGCTGGAAGTGGGGCGGCTGCTCTGCGGACGTTCACTACGGCCTGGGCTTCTCTAAGGTGTTTGTGGACGCGCGGGAGATCAAGCAGAATGCCAGGACCCTCATGAATCTACACAACAATGAAGTGGGACGCAGGGTATGTTTGTCTTCTTCTGCAGTCTAACTTTTGAGTAGGTTCAGTAATTTTAAGTGACACTGATTTAATTTTTTAATTTTTATTTGTTTTGTAAGACCAAAATAGTAGAGTAAAAAGTACTTAATCAGGAATGTTTCTGTAACATACACGTTAGTGTTACATTAGGCTCAGAGGCAGAGCGGGTCGTACACTAATTGGAAGGTTGTTAGCTCGATACCTGGCTCCTCCCACTGCATGTTGAAGTATCCTTGAGCAAGATACTGAACCCCAAATTGTGTCAGTGTGAATGAATGAGTTTCTGTTCAGTGGGCTTTGCCATCAGAATGTGTGTGAAAGGGGGAATGTGGCATGTAGTGTAAAAGCGCTTTGAGTGGTCAGAAGACTAGAAAGGTGCTGTACAAGTACAGTCTATTTACCATTTATAATTACTAAAAAAAGCTGTTTAATCAGAGTTTTCTTAACTTAAAAAAGTTTGTGTTACTTACAATTCCAATGTAATCTGTTTCAACAATTCTTTTGAGTTAAAATAACTCTACAGTGTAGACTAGTCAGGGAATGTCTACATGTGTGTTCTATATGCGCTGCTTTAACCACTATTGGCGTTTGCAAGAGCTATCCCAGCGTGCACTGGCCCTGGACATGGCAGCAATGTGTCACAGGGTGGACTCTAGGGATGCATAGATCAGCCTTTTCTCCACTCAGCTCAGAGTATCTGCTGATACAGACTACCGATCTAATACCAGAGTGGTCTTTTTTCCAAGTTTAAATCTGTATACCTGACTGTATGGGAGGCCTGGGATCAGGTTTATGTAAGGTAACATAAGACCAGGGGTTGCTGTGGCACTAAAAACCGAGCAGGCAGCATGCCAGGGCTGAATGAATGTAACTGGCAGCAGATTTTATAATGACACTGACAAAGGAACTGTTCTTCATGTGGATTGGCCGACACCAGATCCAGAATATCAGATCAGTGCATCCCTGGCTGACACATATTCAGGCAAACACATTCACACTTACAGCCAAGCCGTAGTGTTCAGTTCAGGGCTGAGCCACCAAGCCAGGCGACTCCGTGCTGTCTAGAAATGATGGTGTTTGTAGTTGGCGTTGAACAGCTGACTTTAAGAACCTCTGTAAAGAATTGAGTATATTTAGTGTCTGATGCTCCAGTGGAATAGAGCTACAACAGGGATATAGTTGCAGTTTAGCTAAGGAGTTAAGTTGATAGAAACTGAAACGGTATTTGTTAATTTACTAACCAGACACCAGGGTTTCCACTCTTTTTAAGCAATCATCAGGATAGCACATGCTCACAAACGGTAGCCGGTACTACAGTTCTCCTCTCAATCCTCTAGTTCAAATGAAGTAGAAAAGAAAATGAATCTTCCAGAAAGTGAAAGTGTTTGTTTCTTGTACAATTAACATTGCTGTGCAGGTATTTATCAACCACAGAAACAAATGTGATCATTGCCGATATGACCGTTTACACCATTTCCACTGCGCTTTCCTGAGAATTACGTTCACGGCTACGGAAAAATGTGACTTGACGCTGAAAAGATGGCTGCAAGTAACTCTCGCGAATTCCCACAAATAATGTAAAGTGGAGAGGTAACAAGATGCCCAGTGAGGCGGACCCTTGACCATATGAGAGTGCATTAGCCAGACGCTGATGTTGTTTACCAGTGGACAGACATAGGGAGCCAAATGACAGATCAATAGAAACTGCAGGACTGTGCACAATGTGGCCCCACAAGAAAGCAAATTATTGTAAAAGCTACAGCAGGCACATCAGTGGAAGTCTGAGGAAGACTTCTAAAAATACATTGAACCCTATAGGGCCATTTGTGTCATTACATAGATATGAGAGCATGTCTGTTCACTGTGGTTTTAGAATACATTCTGTACAAGCTGATGCTCTGTGAACTGTGATTTTAATGCTAGTTCTAAAAATACAACCATTGTAGCGCCACATGTTTCCGATATATTCTGTTTGAGCGCCAAATATATCTTCAGTTGTTTCTCTTTGTGGAAATTCCCTAATATGCACAACTTTTTATTAGAGAAATATACATGAAAATGTGTATTTAGAGGGTGTATAAACTGAGAAGCTGAGCAGTGAATTTGCTTAGATAGATTTCATGTCAGTGTCACAGTGACAGGTTGATTCAGGAGGAAAGAGGAGTACTTTCATCTCCGGACTAGGCTTCATACTTGAGGTCTGGCATCAGTCAGAACGTGATACAGTGTGTGAATCTCTTAATATACACTTACAAAACTGATACCTCTGTAATTATTGTAGTAAGGCTTTCATGTTAAATTGGAGATGATGTCAGTGTGTGTTTTGAGTGCCAGCCTTCAAATTTCTTGAGAAGAATAAACAATAGTGTAAAAGGTGCCACGGGAGGCTTACAGGGGTTCTGTTAGACAAACAATGGCAGCTTCGTTGGCAGTTCACTTCACTGAACTCTGTGAATTCCATGTTTGTCAGGTCTCGGGGGCATGACCACCCTAAGCTGTATGCATCCAAGGCTTTTGACAATTACCCCACGAGACTCCAGAAAGTCTGAGGCCACATCAGAGTGGAATAATTAAAAAGCAGGGTGAGGCTTCTCTAATGCCAGCGAGGGTTCCCACTCAGTGAGGAGGAAGGAGGGTAAGCTGATGTCATTCAGCCCGAGGCACACAGAGAATACCCCGGCTGCTTTGCCAAACACGCCGAAAGGTTCCACTCTAACCCTGAAAAGGCCTTTCAGCGCTGCCAGTCTGTAAATGCCTCAACGTGGTGACAGACCAAACTGTCTCTTTAGTCAACGCAGGAACTCGTAAATTATCCCAGCTTCTGTCTGAATTCATCACCTTTACAGATTCATCTCATTCAAACCACATACGAAGAGAAGTTTACCACTATTGTCCATAGTAAAGCAGCTGCTCAGAGACCGTAGATCCATGAAACACAAACCAGACTGCTGTGTAGAGGCAGCGGACAAAAGATGCATTCAACTTTGACCTGCAATATTCAGTTTATCTGGTTACTTGAATTATTAAAACCAGGTTAAAAAACAATAATGCAGAAGTGTGGCAAAAAGAATCAACTGTTAAAAATACTATTTGCAGATTGTTGATTTTCTAACTGACTTACAGGGACTTCACTTGATTCTTGAGACATTTATTGAGCTGTGCTTTTCTCAAAAGACTGCTACTGAAAACAGCAGTGATAACTGTGTTTTTGTATTTCGATAAAAATAACTTTTTGTCACATTTACTGAAACTTACAGTATATCCTGACAGTAGTAAATGAGACAGATAATCTGTTGAAACATCAGGTTAAGGGGAGGCCCGGTAGCCTACCCAGTAGAGCTGGTGCCCCATGTACCAAGGCTAGGTCCTTAATGCAGCGGCCGTGGGTTCGACTCCAACCTGTGGCCCTTTGCTGCATGTCCTCCCCTCTCTCTCTCCCCCCTTTCCTTTCACTTGACTTTCCATTTAAAACTGTACTCTCCAAGCACAAGCTGAGATAACCCCAGGGTTATTTTCTCTGACTTGACAAAGCTCCTCCAGAGACATGGAGGACACAATGTAACTGCTCTCTCAGACTGAGTAGTACTCCTCATGAGTGGTAAACTGATCAATGAGATCAATGTTGTAATTGTATTGTTATTACATTTACTGACGTTTACTACATTATTATTGTTACAGTATAGATCACCAGCTTTTTTCAGACTGTATTTATCACATTCATATTTGTTATCTTTCTGTTGGATTGTATCTATAGCTCCTATACGTGGCTGCGTTTAATATATGAGCTATAGGATAAAAAAACCTGTAATGTGAATGTAGGGTACCAAAATGTCAGAGGCTTTAAAGATGTTTTATTGTTTATAACACTGAATAGCAGGCATGAATTTATTGAGTTTCCATGCTCGATGTATGTTTCTTCCATCAGTGCGTTTTGAGGCTCAACCTGTCTTGTGAAAAGAATGGCACATACATAGCTACTAGCCATAGGGCGACATACTGTAGCCGCTCTGAGATCCCCTGGAATGCTTACATTCATTTGGAATGCTAGAAAACTTTTGTCTCAACCTGTTGAACTATTCATGCAATATCTTTGAGACTTGAGTATTTCTGTGAACTCATATGTTTCTCACCTGCTCATTATGGAAAGACAGCAACAAACAAACTGTAAGAAATAGTGTGTAATCCTCCTAACTTTTATCTTTTTACAGTGGAAGACACCTTAGAGTTAACAGAGTTAAATGGGTTTTAGGTGGGCAGTTGTAACACAGTTTTCAGTTTGAGACTTTGAAACCCCGTCTTCATCTTAACATCTTCATCTTCATGTTGTAGGTCCTGGAGAAGGGCATGCGCCTGGAGTGCAAGTGTCACGGCGTGTCGGGATCCTGCACCACCAAGACGTGCTGGACGACGCTCCCCAAGTTCCGTCAGCTGGGATACATGCTCAAGGACAAGTACGACCAGGCCGTGCACGTGGAGCCGGTGCGAGCCAGCCGCAACAAGCGCCCTACCTTCCTAAAGATCAAGAAACCCCACTCCTACCGCAAGCCCATGGACACGGAGCTGGTCTACATCGAGAGGTCGCCCAACTACTGCGAGGCCGACCCTTTGACTGGCAGCATGGGAACACAAGGTCGCCTGTGCAACAAAACGCTTCAGCAGCCCAACAGCTGCGACCTGATGTGTTGTGGTCGAGGATATAACACGCATCAATACTCACGCGTTTGGCAGTGCAACTGCAAGTTCCTGTGGTGCTGCTACGTCAAATGCAACACCTGCAGTGAGAGGACAGAGGTGTATACCTGTAAATAGAAATATTTATTGGACAAGTATTAAGAAGCACAGCTAGACCGGACTGCGTGCGGGTGTGTGCACGTGTGTGCGTTGTTAATGTATTTCAGAATAAGACTGGCTGCGGAGCTACTACCTTGCTGGCATTACAACAATCACGACAACCGGTTTCTGCAACGTGTGTTGATTATACTGATGCCAATGGACATCTGCCATAACACTGGACGCAACCTATGGGCTCATAAATTGTATTTTTATTTTTCAAGTTGAATGCCATTTCATGCCCCACGCTTGACTCTGCAGGCCATACTGGTCTACTGGCACGACTCACCTCCAAACAGTGATTTATTTTCTAGACTAATAATTTATTCAATGAGAAAACTACTGATGATTTTGAAAACTCACTGTTGACTAAATCTGGTAAGGTCTTAAGTTGGTGTAGGTGCCTTTTAGGCATTTTAGTAAACAAATATTCAAGTGCACTTACGCAAAGAGAAATTTACTTTTTCTTTAACAAGACAACTCACACACTGGAGCTGAAAACTGAAACGACACAAACTGAACTCGACTGAATGACATATTTGGGACCATGCAGCCTATGTGCATTAAGCCTCGCAGAAGAACATTAAACTACTGATCCTGGGCTCGGTATGATAGTATTGTTTTCTACTTGTTTCTGTCCCCTCTGCCCTACAGTTTGCTGCTAGTTGTCTGGAAAGTTATGGAGTTTGTGACTGAGCAGCCATATTGACGGTTCAAGCTAAGTTGACACCACCAGAAGCAAACGCGAGCTTCCAGACATAAATTCCCCTTAATGTTGGTTGATAGAATATATTTTGTAAGAGATTATTTTTATATAATATTTTTTTTATTTATTTTCTATCTCTATGTAAGATATTTTTCCCTTAGCATTTCTAACTGTTCAGTTACTGAGTTTAAAGGAGATGACCCACTGAAACACTGTTTTAAAAATGTGCCTTGTTTCTCAGCAGCAGAATATAATGTTATACAGAAATATGCGGTATTGTGATTTGTAATACATGTCAGGAAACATTATCTCACCTTGCCTTGCTACCTATCGAGAGCCAAAGTCCTGACGTCACTTCCAGGTTAGCTGCTGTTCCACAAAAGTTTGTATGACTCAGTGCCATCGGTTGTACAGGGTTTCTTAAGATGTCTCTCTAAAAAGGTAAAACGTGTTTTTGTGGTTTACTATCCATATTCTAAAATACTCTAGTATCTATTACAGCATTTGGCATTACAATTTGAACCCTTTAAACCGTGATTCATTTGTTAGCATACAAAAACTACGACTACTATGCATTTTTAACAGCGCAGTACACCAGTAGCACTTATTAGTCAGCGTAACTGTGGTTCCTGACCCACTGTCTCTTTAGTCATCTCTCCAGCTGTAATCTCAGCTGTCTAACAAAACATTTCCGCCATTCTGCCCTTCCGCCATCGTTTTAGCCACGACTAGCCGCAGCCTTTCTGTTGAACTAACGTTTAAGTAGTGCTTGTTAAAGACCACTAAAATTGGATTGAATTGAACCACATTGCATACTTTTGACTAAGGTTATGTTCCAAGGCTGTGTTTTTAGACATTTGTGTTACTACAAATGTGATGAGATTTTTCGGCTGGATTCAATGGTGAATGGCTACGATGCATTCTGGGTTCGCCACCGCCGCTGTCGGAACTGGTCACTGCCATTGTAGACAAAGCGTGTGATTCCACCGGATGTTTAAAATATTCGCCTGATCTATTTTTGACAGAAGCTGTGTCAAGCTGCACAGAGCAGATCGACAGGAAGTCAGAAACAGGAACAGCATAGATACAGTGCTGTGCAGACTCCCAATTGTAAAAACGGACAAAAGAAAAGCAAATCTACAAAATCATTATGATTGGGTCAACAAAATGAGGCAGCAAAACGCTTGTCACAGAGCTGGTGGAATCAAGGCGTTATACTTCAGGAACAGAATCCGGGAGTTATGACTTTGCTTTGGCTTTCTATAGGGTTAACCATAAATCCACAGATATACAGTTTGTGCTTTTTGTCAAGTCTCTCACTAACACCAACTAGGGCTGGGTATCATTTCATATTTTCCGTGCCTTTAATTAGAGAAATTAAGGAAATGAGGGGAGAGATAGATTTTGATATTTTTTGAGTTTACCAAAACCAAAACAAAATAAATAACGAATAAAAAAATCAAGATCATGCATTCAAATCCAACCTTTGATACTATGGACACATTTCAGACAGTACTCAATAAAGGTTTGATACCCAGCCCTTATACTTAAATATAAAACAATCAGACATACCTTAACAGGGACATTAGTGACCAGTTGCATTAGTACAGTATCAGGACAGGTTGATTATAGATAGAACTGTAACATGCCTTCATCACAGGAGGGTACACTACGGTTATGGTTGCAGAAACAATGCAGTTTTTTCTCAGTTCTCTTGTTTGGTTCATACAGACAGTTTCTAGTGAATGGCAGTCATGACTGACTCAGTCCTCATTAAAGGTTGTTGTTGTATGCCATTGAACTGATGAAATGATATCAACCACCTGCTGTAGAGCTCTTAAATCAGAGGTCAATGCTGTTCATGTAAAACCAGTCTTTTTATTCGTCTTTGGTTAATAAATCTTGTCTGAGAATTAACAGGAGATAATTTTTTGTTTTCAAGTTTCATTATGAGGACAGATCAGAGTGAAGAAGGTGTGATTGAGGGTTGCGGTGCAGAGGGTGTCGCAGCAGTGTGTGCCTCAGTGAGCAGTGGGAGTGTGGAGCTACTGGCTGATGGATTACTCTGACATCTGCTTCATTCACTCCTCAACAACGTTGCTACAACAACCACACTGTGCCCCCCAAAAATGCTCCTCATCTCATCGAGAGGCCAGACTGCCCATTAACAAAATGGTAACCATGCAAAACCCAGATAAAATTTGGATGCTATTTATTTTGTGGAAATGGCAAAAGGGACGAAAGCGGGGAGGGGGCTTTACAATTGCAAGGGGATGATGTCAAGAAGGATTTCAATCTGAGCAATAGAAAAGGTCTTAACTCCCGGAATAATCGGCACAAAACATTCCTCGGCTAAACTTTGCCTCAATAGAGTGACGCTTTCAAAAGGCAGCTGGCCAAACAGTCTCGGTTAGAGTAACACCAAGGCTCTGTCACTGAGAGCTCAACAACATTATCGGACTGTCTCACAGAGCACTGGTTTGTTAAATGCTTCTCTTAATGGTCAGACACATAACAGAGACAAACACAGAAGGAGAACTCATACCAAAACATGCTAATTATCTATCATATTGTTATTATTATTATCATTATTATTATTATCTATTAATATAGTTATCTTATGATCATTTCCTCCTTTTCACTTACACCTCCTTCCATGTGTAACATTGGTTCCACGTCCTAATAATGCATCCTTCATAAAGGCCTCATTAAATTTCATTAACTAATGCTTTAAAGTTGAGTTCAAACAATTACTGTATGTAGAGCAATAATTGCTGGTTGATATTGAAAGTTCTCGACCTTGGAAACAGTAGTTATAGTATATATATATATATATATATGTATAATAAAACAAATAATAAAACAACAATTATGAAATTAGTTTACCATTCAATTTTAAAATGAAAATAAACTAAATTTGGTTCCCCTGGTTCACTTTAGGGTTCAAGTATTGAAAATAGAACTAGAAATGTTAGATATCTTTTAATTAACAAACAAATCCTTGTTAAATTACAAAACACATACTGACATGTAAATTCACAGGCCATTTTTATAATTTTATTAATTTGTTCATGTATTTTAAAAATACAAAAAATATCAGTAAAATAAACAGAAAAACCTTGTAAATTACTTTTTTACAGGCTGTTTCATAATCTGTTAAAAAACTCCCTGTACTATGTTTAAATGATTATTGATTTAAAAAATAAAAAAAGATTTAATATGATTATCATCGTAATTTTCTCAATTAAATAATTACTCGTTCAACTAATAACCTTTGCTGCAAGGCCAATAATCCAATAAGGGACCCTTTTCTATCGTTTGGTAAATTAGACAGTTTACTTTATATTTACCTTTCTTCACAGAAGTGAACCAAATGCTGAGATATAGGCCTACTGTGTAATTTTTAAAGTTTTCTTACACTCCCCTAAAATCAAGAAGGCCTTCGACCCCCTTATGAAGCTTTGGTGAACCCTAGAGGTCAGGTGGGGAACCGCTGTTCTGTAACATGCAAATCTGCAAGCGCAACCACTATATATGTCTGTACTACAATTGATGCCACAATTTCATTCAAAGTGAAAAATAATCTGTGTATCCACCCTGAGATTCGGATCCGCTCCAAAATGTAATGGGTTCTTCCCCATGCTACACCCTTCCACCAAGTTTCATGAGAAGTAGGCTGGAATCTTTTTTCGTAATCCTGCTGACACACAACAAACAAACAGCACCTTGGCGGAGGTAGTTAGAGGAATCCATGCAATCCCATTTTCTTCCATACACTGTGCCACATGTCTCCGATTTTTGTTTCCATTGCATTTTGTCATACATGCTCGTTAATTGTATATCAAATTATACCGTGCACTTCCTAAGACTGGCAGAAACTGACTACAAACATACACTGCAGTTATAAGTCAAAGCACAACACTGACTCATCCTCCACAGGCCTCACTCTGTCAAAAACCACACGCCAAAAGGGGATCATTGAAGCACTAATGAACTGCTTCATGGTGTTTTTCCTATAAACACAAGTGCGTCACTGCCAAGGTCCCTGGTGTTTAATGCCTCTGCTTGTTCAAGGGGTCTGCAGCTGCTGGTGCTAGCCTTTGCTGTGTCTCTCTGCATGCAGCAGTGCACCTGTGAACACCTGCATTGAGTTGATAGTCCAAAATTTACGACTGCCAGTCTGCAGCATGAGCTGGGACTGCCTGTGTCTGTTCCCAAAGCTGCTTGTGTGAGTTTTCTCCCGGACTAGATATTTCACTTCTGCACAACTTAATTCTTTAACTTTTAATTGATGTTTTCAGATCAGGGTCTTTTTGTATGAAAAGCTGACAGGTTGGTGCTCCGCTGCAAATGGCGCTGGAAGCCGCCACGCTTGGCTTGTGCCGAAGAGATTCTTTGTCAGAACGTTGATTATTTAAGACAGGGGCTGCTTAATAACTATCATTATGGCACTACCTTGAGAGCGAGGGCCAATCAGGGTCCAAACAGAAATCTCCCCTGCCAACAATGACGTCGTAGCCAAGGAATGAGACAGAAACAAGGTACACATACTTTGGAAAACCAAAGATTTTAATTGAAGGATGCATAAATCAAACAGTTCATATCACGTACTTTAAACACTGCATCTACAATAAATCATAATTTGGCTCAGAAGTGATTGAATAATGAATGATGTGTTATTTGTTGGTTAAAATAGGCCAAGGTTGGGGCATGCCAGATAATGATAAATCTGTAGCCCCGAGCTAAACTTCTGCTGTCTGGTTGTAAAATGTTTTCAGTACTGGAATGGCCTCACTGTGGAAGCAATGTAATACAGTTGTTTGTGAAGGAACTGTGCATGAATTCTTGCACAGTTTGGGATTTTAGAAGTTACATCCTCACTGTTAAGCTCTTAATTTAAAGGGTAGGTTCAAGAAATTGCAAAAAACAGTTTCTCACTTACCTCTGGTGGCGTTTAGTCATGCAGATAGTTTTGTTTTTATTTAATTAGGTTCTGAGATATCCATCTCTGAGATTTCTGCCAAATACATGGAGGTAAATGGAATTTTGTTTTTGCGTTTCACAACATTGAAAAATATAGCTTAGTTTGGCACATCATTATATTTTGTTACACTAACACACACTTGGTGGCAATATGGCCCACAACTAGAAAATGGTAATAACATCAAGGGAAACCATCCAAATGATGCAAAAAGTAACAGTTCACTATTTGTTTTTATTTTTACCCATCAAATACAAAGTAACTCACTTAGACAAACAGCCACCAAATCTGGCAACAATAGTCACGTTTCCATCCAAATTTTAACCACATTTTGTGAAAAATCTTCAAAGGGATATATTAGTTGACTAGCAAGGACCACACCATCAACAAGCTGATGAAGAAAGTGATTTATCCAAACAAAACATTTATTATCCTTGATATTGAGTGTCTTGTATACTGTTGAGTTGAGAAACTTCGCTGGGGAATCCTCCGTAGCACCCGGGTACAACGGACCCCCAAGTACCCTTTGGAGAGAAAGAGAAAGAACAAAAGGGGTTGGGGGGAGGGGCCTAGACTACGAGAGCGAAAAAGGAGAAGAGGGTATTCATGGGAATGCCGGAAAAAACATAATTGATCCTGCTCCTGAAACTCCACTAATAGCATTAATGAATGCATTTTTCCATCCACTACTGTTATGTGAATATTAGGAGTTGTGTGCATCGAGATAAACAGCACTAATTCTCCTGTTGAGTGCCACTGCAACACAACGAGATGATGTAAGTAAAAGTGCGCCAGTCAAACCCTAACAAAAACAATGTGGAAAGCGTGATGGAAATATGAGATTTGTTTGTGTCATGGAACAATTTGTCTCCTCATTGCTCCACACAGATCTGATATTGTCGTCTCTGGCAATTGTTCGTCTCCAGTGAAGAGCAAGATTCAGTGGATGTTTAAGTTACTTCATGTACTTTATGATTGATTTGGTAAGTCTGTTTTCACTGCACTTGGTGAACTCCTTCTGTGTTGCTTGTTAGCGCATCTAAGTCCACCTATTAGCTAGCCACCATCGACAGAGAAATGGTGGATGTCGCATATTCCTCCCACTGTACAAAAATGAAGTCAAAATATCCCAGATACGCCTGCCGCCATCTTGCACTGGTGACTTTGCAGTAGTGATCAGGGTTAGCACCGCGGTATCAATATCCACCCCATATGTTCGGTCAGTAAGGGCTCAGCTGTTAATCTCTTGATGTGAAACCATTATAGCTTCAAATAACTAATGAATACCAAACTTATCAGAAAAATGAGCACTTGAACAATTTCCATTTATTGTGGTCTAAAAGGCTGGTGGTATAGTGCTACACTGAGTGGGTCTGAATGTTATATAGCGCCTTTAATTTGCAAATTGTGCACAAAAACAGGTGGATGGCAACACATTTAGTGACAGGAGAGAGAAAGAGAAACATCTGGAGTTTCTGGCAAGTTTTGAGCTCAGTCTGAGGTATCAAACACAAACCTACTCCACCCACGCACACACAGTGAGAGCGTGTTGTTAGTTTGATCGAGATAATGTCTGTACTGTTAACTACGATGGTCATTTGTGTCCAATAAACACAGATTATTATAACACAAATAAACCAAGCTGTAAATTCACTTCCTGTTTCAGTGAGTACTCTTCGAGTAAAAGGTGGTTCCTGCAACAAACACACCATTTTTTCAATATTTCTTTTGGCATTTCCCTTTATTGACAGGACAGTAGAGAGATACAGGAAAGGAAGGGGAGGAAGGGGATGACAGTGGCATATGGCCTCGATATGCGCTCTACCTGGTGAGCTACCTGGACACACAGAATCATACGACTGACTACCTAAGAAGCATTCCTTTAACCCTGTGAGGTAACATGAGAATCCATCTTCAATCTTCGCCAGGCTTCAAA